TATCTTCTGCATCGAATATCATTTGAACGTAGCAAAGTTTGCAGATTGCTCTTCTGCTGCTGCGGCTGTGTGCGAGAGCGTGTGTGTACGCGTTTGATGAACCGATTTGAAAGTTTAAATATTTGATCGATTCTATTGACAATCAAGTGCATTTGCGCTCCAAATGCATGTCGATCTCCATTCTTCGATGCCGATGAATAATAACGAACATGTCGTTAGCAATTCAAAGCGAGTGCGGGTTCAATGTATTGCATTTAACATTAGTGAGGAATTATCTGAATCTGTCACTACCATTGACGAAAGGAAATGCTTGTGTGGGCTTCATACGAGAGCAGCGTGATTGATTTAAAGTTCGTTTGTTTGCATTGTGTTTGCTATCGTTATCCACGTCCACTTCCAACACGCCTAATGATATTCATCATCATCATCATCATCGCCGTTGTCATCGCATTTTTTTTGCTTTTCATTCGAGCGACTCACAAAACTTTCAACAGCACTTTGAAATGTTCACATGTGTCATCGTCGAAAATAACCTAAACGCAAAGACTGTCCCCGAAAAAAGGGGATATAGAATAATCGTACGTGCTTGTAATTTTGATGTCACGGAATGGAAGAAATTGCTCTGAATTTTCATCGAATGATGTGTGACAATAAATAACGGTATCAAATGATTCGAAATTCATGGCTACACAATGGTGGTGCTTGTGAGCAGAGTTAGCAAAGTAAATAGTGCTATCCATTTCGAAATGCTCAGCAAATAAATTCGTCAGATATGAATGAAAAGCGCGCGCAAGAGAGGGAGGAAAAAAATAAATTAAAGTGCTGCTGAAAAATTCCAGGCATAAAAAATGAATGCAAAGAAAGATAAAATGTGGGAAAAGGAATATCTCTTGTGGAAAGCAACGTAGGTTCAGCATTAGGAAGTTATTAAAATGAAGGAAAAAAGAAGTGAAATAACGGTCGCGTCAATTTTTCCAACGAAAGCTGAATGTTCGCTCATATTTATACTGTTGTTGTTGTTGGCGCATGAAAAATTTATTTTCGCACTGAGCGCAAAATTCGTTTAATTAGCTGGTTTAAGATCGCTTTCGCATTGTTCGCCATTGCCAATTAAAAAGCTGATGCGAGAGAGAAATACGAAGCGAAAAATCAACAGTCAACAACTGTAGAAATATTGTTTTTGTTGTTTTTTTTTTTCGTTAATTATCGTATGAAAAAACAATGCACAGAGAGCCATTCTTTAATTTAACAGAATTTCTACTGAGGTTGACGTTGCGTTGAACACATTGCGATCGATAACAGTTAACACCACACTTACATGACCCACATTCAACGATAAAAAGTAAAAATACGCGCACTACTTGTTTCCAAAAACGAAGCTGACACTCTCACCGAATTCAGCCATTGGCTTTTGTTTCGTTGTACTCATATTTAGTTTAAATATACCATGCTACATAAATATAGTATTAATGTGCACACACTGAGAATCAGCCACTAAAGACAATGTAGTCACTGTGATATGCACAAATACACGGACACACAAAACTATACGCGTCAACAACCATATATACGTACGTACGGGCATACGTACATATATGTATATTTAAATGACAGTGGAGAGACAAGAGAACAGCGGTTCTGAAACAGCATTTATAGATTATAAGTCTTATTAACGAGAATGAAAGGAAAATCGAATCGGTGCTGTGAAACGACCACCGCATAAACCACCGCTTCTGCCTGTACATCGGAATGGAAAGAGTGTGCATTGTGGAGAAATGAAAACACTAAAACACTATGACATTTTCGTCTCTCAAACTATCTTTTTCGCATACTAAACAGAAGTGAACGTGGAATGGAAAATAAACGACTATAAATAGCACTTTACCGTTGTCGATGTTTGTTTTCCATGGACTGCTAGTGTCAAGTCACATAATACTAAACGCATCCATTCTTAATAGGAAAACAATGAAAAATTAATGGGTGCGTTTAATATTATGCAGCATTTACGTGTATTTACGTTCGACACTAGCAGTCGTTGTTGTTTTCTATGCCAAATACACACTAACCACGCTCTCTCTCTCTCTCTCTCTCTCTCTCTCTCTCTCTCTCTCTCTCTCTCTCTCTCTCTCTCTCTCTCTCTCTCTCTCTCTCTCTCTTTCTCTTCCCCATTCAACACATTTTGGTGGCATTATAAATTCGATATTCGTTTCCTATTGAATATGGTTGGACTGTCCAAGTGTTTAATGCGTTTGGGCGGCCACATCAAACACATTCTAAATTATCCAATTGAATGTATGACATTTACAACACACGATGATGAAATTTTTGGTCAGCTAGTCCCAGTCTCATTGTATTTTCAGTACAAAACGTATTCCAATGAGGCGCTTTCAAAATGCAGTGCGCAAATTGAAAAGAATGTAGTAAAATACAGTGCTGGTTAGTTAAAATTAATGATTACAATTTCGTACCGTCAAATATTAAATGTTTGTCCAATTTTCCATGATTTCATGGACAAAAAATTCAATGAAAATTCTCCTTCCGACAAAAACTCAAGGAAATTTGATTTTCATAAAAAATGTATCATGACCAACCACTTGACAAGTTTATCCAATTTCGCTGCTGATGTGATTGTTGGTTTTAAGTTTTGATTGAAAAACAAGTCATTTTATATTCACATAAATTTTGGCCGATTCCGATGAATATTTAAATATAGAAAACAATAATTTAAATCATTATGTTTTTTGTGAAAGCGCGCACAGAGAGTTCCAGAGGTGGGTATAAAATATTATGTGTAGCTTTATTTTGACAGATGACATTTCAAATAACACGTTCGCCATCAATAAATGGAATTGTTTATTTGACTGTTTGTGTCTTTCCCTTTGTCATGGTCTGAATGAATTAAAGGAATAAAAGCGTATCGGCTTTAACCCGAATTTCGTTTCCGTATCGATCGGTTTTTCCAATAGAGCAACATATAAATATAGGCTTCCATCAAAAACAACGCACGACAACATATTAAATACACTTCAATGGAAGAATTTCTCACACATATCTGTCGTCAACCGAAGCCAAAAATTCATGCATGAAAATTCCCAAATTTTTTCGACACTTGATATGAATCAAGCAGCACGGAGGCCCCACGACACAACATATATGTTTTTATGTTTATAAATTATATATAATTCCCATATTAATCGAAATTCGGAATCATTTTGTATGAACAAGCATTATGAAAATGGAAAACTCTCAATAATTGGGAAAATTGTTCAGACTACGTTTCAATTTGATGCAAAAGAAAAACCACTTGAATCAATTGTGAAACAATAAGATTCAAAAATTCTACTCATATTGAATTAGAAGCGCATATCAAATATTAATGGATCGAGTTAGATTTCATTTTCCTCGTTTCATATCGCCGCAAGGGGTTTTCAAAATTTATCGATCGAAACGATTTCAGTTTGAATTGTAATCAACTCACAGTTTTATTGTTCAAACCAATATGTGATGGACATAGGTAGGCTTAGGAAAGCTAATGGTACTAATACTTGTTTTTTTTTTTCCTCTCGATATCATGTCAAAAACTCGAGAACAGCCTCGCTTTTATCGATATATGTTCGGTGTGTGTGTGTCATAAAATGGACAACGTGTCAAATGGACGTACATCGTACATGCATATCTCGGTTTTTCATTTCAATGAATATAGTTAATAGATCAAGTTTATAATAAAATGATTGATTTAGGATGGCCAGGGAGCGGTGAAATGTCCATAAAAATGGAACACGTTTGTTGATAAATTATTTCCAAGTATATGATTGTTCGAAAGAGAAAAAAAACTCCCTTCAGCTCTCTTTCAATCGATGGAAATAAAAAAACTCAATATGAGAGAAATAATCGATCGAAATATCATGACAATCGTTCATTTTATACTGTACGCATTCGTATGCAGTAGTGTGCGCCTGGCGACTAGGGAACGCCAAAATAAACCGTTGCACGCGTATGTCACACATATGCGACGCAAACGGTTTGGCACCGCATTATAATTGAAGTTGAATAAACCATTATAGTCTTTATTTTACATTCCTACACTTCGTGTATTACTAAAAGGCAGCCATTACTTTTGGAATATTCATGAGCAATTGTCGGTTGTATGGTCCGCGTCGGAATTTCTTTTTCCGTCCCAAATTTGTCACATTTCTCATTGGTTTGATTTCGTGGATTGACACAGGTGAGCATTGGATACCCTCATTTATTTTCGACTTTTTTTTTTCGTATGGCGTCACTTTCATTCTCCCTATTTTGATCGTTCCCGAAAATGAGAAAAGTTTTACAAAGGCTAGTTTAATCGTTCAATCATTCGATTGAAATGCGACGTTTTCGATTTTTTTTTTTCATCAAAAATATCTCAATTTATCACAGCAACATCTTACGGCGAACCCTCGTCTAGCATCAAAAGCCAGTGCTCATTTGTCTGCTGTGAGTCGCGTTCACAAACAAGAAGTCAACATGTCACTTCGAGGTGACACGTAGAAAAATTAAAAAAGTTTAAGTGTTTCTTCATTTTTATTTATTCATCGTCGTCGTCGTCGTCGTCATCATCGTTTGTCTGAACCTTTTCTGCGCTCAAGCAGAGCTTAAATATGCGACTGTTTTTTCTTTCTTCAAACGGTTGAATAAATATTTGGCATTCAACATAAATTCAAGTCTTGTGCATCGTAATAGAGTGAACAGAGCGCGAACTATTTAAAACGGTGTCACATAAATATTAGATTCATTTAACTGATGCGACGACACAGACGATGGAGATATACATTTCATTTCGTTCGGTTAGAATGTGCTAACAAGCATTATGAACATAACGGAAACCTCGGTTTTAGCCATTTAAAAACGGACGCTCCCATCATTTGTCTTGTTTGGAATGAATAGAAAGATCTATTTGAAATACGATAGCAATTCGTTTTCGAGAAAAAAAAATAAGGATATATACATCACATTCAACTTACCCCTTTTGTCTCTGTCTAGATTAAGTGAATTTTTCTTGCTGCTGCTCTTTTCCGTTCGCTATTTGCCAGTGGTATTTCTTGCTTGTGCTAGCTGTTGATGTGGTGTTTCTTCTCGTGTATCGCAATTCGACAATTCCAATCAGACTTTATCTTGGCCTTTTCGTAACATGCATACAGAAGAATGTGCGATGTTTTTTTTTTACACGAAAGCTCTCTGGTTGCGTGTGTTCTTGTCGTTTTTTTTATGTGAGTGTGCGCTGTGCGTTCAGCTTTTCACTGTTTGCTCCCTTTGTTTTCGAGTCTCTTTCAGAAAAGACTTTCCAATGCAGTAATTTGTGGCTTTCGAATGAATTGGTGCGCGGCGGCCAACGAATTGAATGGAAATTTTTCTAAAGCTGTTGATAATTTTCAATAGGGTGACATTTTCGTTGTTATATTGAATGCGTTGGGTGTTAGGCGACTATGATTTCGGAATCTGATTTGTGTGTATGCTTATTATACGCATTTACTCTAAAGCAATTTTACACTTCAAGTCTCAAATTCGGTCTATGCGTCGAAGACGACGACGACGACGAAGATGGATTTAACTCACCAAACGTCGCTTGTTGAAATAATGGTCATCAATTCTCTTCAGCCAGATAATGTCTTTATTTTTGAAAGAGGATACCGCAACAAACAGCTGTATGAATTCTTCCCCAGTAAAATTACCATATAAATTGTAGTTGCGTTCACTTTGAGCGCTCTTTCCCTTTTTATCTCGTTGCGCAAGAAAACGTTCGATGTTGTAAAATGCGAGTGCTGGCTTTAAAGACGAAACTTCTGCTTTTCTTAAAAGACAAACGCGCCGTAAGTAATTTCAAAATAAATGTCTCATGTCGACATATCACATTACAATGAAATAACCGCAGGACAGAATAAATGAAAAAAAGAGCCAAAACACTTTGAAAAACCGAAATTTTTGTGCTAATAGCACAGCGATTGATGATTTCGTATGAACAAATTCGTTGACCACAAAATGAGCAGCGGTAAAAAACCGCGCACGTTTGAAGTCCACGCTTGCAGAAGATTATTGAAGCAGCAATTGTTCAGTTTGTTCTAAAATTTTGCTATGCTCTGTAATGTGATTTTTATCATCGTCATGTCATTCATATGGTGTTGTTCAGATTATTCGTTCACTTTTTCTTCTTCGTTTTTATTTGGAAAACCATCCAGATTACTCACACGATGGCTGCATGTTGAGGTCAAATGTCCGATCGAAACAATAATCTCCAGGTTTTTCTGCACACACCCTTTTTGGTGGCATTATTTCCACATTTCTGTTTTTTTCTTTATTCGATAATTTGATGTTTTTTATGCTTTTTTTTCTGCGAAAGTAGGTCTCTTTTTTGCTGATTAGATGATTGATTTGTGCATGACTCGGATATTTTCGTTCATATGTCGATGATTGTTCGGAACAAAAGTACACTATTGAATCAATTTGATTTGGTATTTCACACTTCTATCCACAAATATCTTGGTTTCTGCTTAGTTTCACTCCAATGAACCAAATCGCACATAAATACCATTTTGTAAATTCGGTTTTTGTTTCATAAAGATTGAAAATCACTTTGAAAATATGTCACGCATACACACACACACACAAAGCTCATGTTCATAAGGAGCTTATAAATGTATATCGATGTGAATCACTCGCACGTATGGAGATTTTTCTTTGGTATCAGATTAAATTTGATATTTTGTTTGTTGAATATTCGTTTGATTTTACATGTTTTCAATGAAATTCCGTTCATTCATAAACACTTTTTTCTTTTCGATTTTTTCTCTCTCTCGTGGTTTTGCTTTGTGTTTACCTTGTCGGTTGATTTGTTCCCGTCGGTTGCTTTGTGAATAAATATATATGTAATGTGGGTGAAATCCTATTTCTATCTACTGTTTAGCTTTAGTCAGCCATACCAATTCGGAACTAATGAAATACATTGGGTAAAAAGTTTATTGATTTGCACATTTGAAACGAAGTTACGTTTTCCTCTTTTTCAACAGTCATTGAAAATATATTCTCGAATAAAAAAAATGATTATTTCATACGTTCGAAACGTTGAACCGCTCGAGAAGTATTCGATGTGTAAGTTCTCTCTTTTTTTAGAAGGGGATTATGTACGTTTGAGTTGATTTTGTGTGTTTTATTTATTCACGCTTCCTTTTCTTAAAATGTTTATTTTAACGGTCTTTTCTATCTTCGTTGAAACTTTGTTATAAATTCGAAAGTATTGATCAAAAGTCACGACCTTTGAAATGTCATTTGCCATTCAAGCAAACATCGATTCGATGGCACACTTCATTTGGTACTTTTATTCATTCTTCGTAATATTTATTCAGTAGATGAATTATGAATTTCCGTGCAATCAAAATTGAATGGTTTTCAACTTCGAAATCGTTGATGTTGATGTTGTGATTGTGACTCTGGATGTCCCCTTTTTTTGTTCGAGACCCAATTTTTCCGCCAACTTTCCAACAGCGTCAATGGGATTCAACACAACTGTGCACCGTATAATTAGTTTAACAAATGAAATGTAAACAAGTAACGAGTGAATGGGAAAACTCGCAGAGACTCTACGGTGTGTGTAATGTGTATACTTTCCGACGGGATTTCGGAGTATGAAGAATAACCGTTGAAAATTGTTTTACAATCGTGAATTTCCCATCTTAATAGCATAATCAGAACTAAGCACCAAATTAATTTATATTGCTTTTGTTGCTGCTGCTGCTGCTGCTGCTGTTGCTGATGTTGGCTTGCTCGTCACCAATATCCAATTGTAGTCAAGGTATTCCGATTCTTCAATTATTTTTTTTATTCAATCAAATTTACGATCCTTTCCAAATCAATAAACACTTGCGCTTAAACCAGTAATGACTCGAATGGAGAATTCCATGCCATTGATAGTCTTTTTGGTATTTTGTTCATATGTATGTGTAGGGGTGTGTGTGTGTGTGTGCTCAAGTGTCAATATTTCGATCATCAACAAGAAAAATGATATGTTCTTTGCTGTATAAATTCGTGTCTTGTCCAAAAAAATTGAGCCAAATCATTGGTTCATTTGGGGATATTACAGTTTTGATGAAGTTATAATTCAATTTGCCACAAACACAATGAAATAAAAAAACAATAAATTCAGATAATTGAACCCACTTTTTTCTTTCGTCCGTTTATTATCACTTAGAAATTTATAGAAAAAAAAGTCTTTCGTTTTTGGATGCACCGTCGATAAGAAAAAAAAAAACAGATTTTTTTTATTCAATTATAAAAGCCGTCCGATGATATATGAGATTGAAAGCTGACGAAACAATATTTTCGTTTTCACTTTGGTTTCGTTGGTTCCGTTGCCTTCAATCAACCGCTGTCGATTTCATTGTGCGAAATAACAAAATAAAGAAAAAAAAATACAACTGAATTTCTCGACGAAGAACGATAATGTTCACTGTGTGATGATTCTCTCCGTTGAGCATACTCTGTGAGACTGACTCAATTTGTCGGACGGAAGCACATTTTCCCACAATAGATGAATGTGTGCCGTGCCGATTTCGACGTTCGGCTGACGACGAAGTGGAGCGAATCGTTTATGTAAAACAAAACTTCGGCTCCTTTGCTGCTCGGTGTTTTGTATACAAGCAAAATGTGACCGATGCATTATCCAATATGTATACGTTGAACGCGGTGCGATATCGATGCAACTGTCTATTGTATCTTCTAACGCAAAGATAGATGGATACATGCGGTAATCGGCCGTATTTTTGTATATATATATAGAATATATAAAACGGCCACCACGCCGCTACACTATCTACTTCAATGCATGATATGTTGTGCACTGTTCTGCTTTCATGCCGACAAAGTGTTATAAATTCATGCGGCATTTTCGTGTTGTATGTCTATTCAAAGTAACCGCTCGCTATAAGGTATATACTGTTATACAATTCAATTTATTTCTTTACTTTAAATATTCTTATATCACATAGCCCGGCACAGCATAGATCGAATTGCTTGGCAAATGTTTGTCGGTCGGTTGATGTTTTGCCTGTTGTGCCATGCGGTATGTTTGTTATGTACAACGATAGTAAAAAAGGGAGCTTCAGTGACAATACAACTATTTTCACTCATTCCATGCTAGAATCGTCAACGCCTGTACTCACCATATAAAAACGGCATTTTTGTACATTTATTTTGTTTGTTTGTTGTTCGTGTTTCAATTTTCGTTCTATACATTTTCTTTTTTTTGCTTTGTCTTGTACGTACATCGATGCTATTGGATATCGAGTGCATTCGTGGGCCCTGATGTGATTGCTGTATTTTTTTTGTTTGCTTGTAATATAAACTTTTCTTGCATATATTACGAAATTGAAGGAGTTGGTGTTCCGTTTCTCGTTTAGTTATTGCTTTTTTTGCAGCAACTAGAGGGGAAAAACACCGACGACGACGTTTCGATTACAAAATCTAGTTATTTTTGGCTGAAGCCGGTAGAGTTTTTGATTTTCTTTTGTTGTGTACGCTTTTTGTTTGCATCGTCCGTTGTTTGGTGGAGCTCGAAAATAGTTTTCGATTATAAGTTACAAATGAGAACTTCCCACTTAAAATTGATGATTCACTTCGTTTGAACGAATTTCAAATAGACGAAATTTTTTTTTATCATCCTAATCAAGAAACTCACTCATTTCGAAAGGACAAATCCTAAACTTTTGAAAGCTGATCGTCTTATGTCAAAATCAACAATTCCAGACGCACTCTTGAAGTTCTTCAACATAAGAATGACATAAATACGCAGAAGCTTCTGAGTTACCCAACGAACGCACAAACCAAGACACAACAACGGAAAAAACACAAGCAAGAGAATGTGCGCGCTACACTCATTCGCCTTCTACTCGGTTCGTTCATCGAGCGAACGGTTTCTGTGTATATGTGACAATAAGGTTCAACTGGACGAGCGCACGTTCAATATTGCCACATATACACAGACACTGTTTGCGTTGTGTATGTATGCTCGATGAACGAACTGAGTAGAAGGCGAATGAGTGTAGGGCGCACAAGCACATTCTCTTGCTTGTGTTTTCTCCGTTGTTATGTCTTCGTTTGTGCGTTTGTTGGGTAACTCAGAAGCTTCTGCGTATTTATGTCATTCTTATGTTGAAGAACTTCAAGAGTGCGTCTGGAATTGTTGATTTTGACATAAGACGATCAGCTTTCAAAAGTTTGGGACTTGTCCTTTTTTCATACATATTTCCTCATAGAATTCAATGAAAAAAATGTAATTGAATAGTTGCTGGCTTTATTATTACGAACCGAAAGGTTTTTCATATTCACTTAGTAGCACCACTATTATCATTCGTTTCGATTCGAGAAAGGACTCGATTGAATCGCAATAGAAAACGGTTATTATGTTGTTTTGGTCTTCTAGCTTTTTTCTTATCGATTTTGTTAACAATCAATTTCCCAGCATTAGGAGGGGACAAGAAAGAATTGTGTCATGGCATTTCGAGTTTCGAATACGAATTATAGTTAATTAACTTAGTGTCCTTTTGTTGACTTCGTTCCATTTGGCGGGCGCACTCAAACGAAATATTAAAATAAAGAAGCTTTATATAATCATAATGGGCATTCTGAACTCATGACATATGCTTTAATTATGCTATTTATCAAATACTCGCTCACCGCATCGATCGAGTGGAACATGAACAGGATTTTAGAGCGTCGTTATTACAATGGATTCGAATGGCCTAGTATTAATGCGTCGATATCAACAACATCCTGACTGTCATTGTGTGAGCTACATGTTCTACTTGTTTTGCAACGGTCGTATCCGGAGTTGAGCGATTTTGAGCGAGTGAGAAGTTAGTAAATGCGGGACAGAGAAAGCGGAAGAGAATTAGTTTGGTATATTTTGTACGTGTTGTTTGATGCAGAATGATAAGAAAAATGCACAGGCAGAAGTGTGGACTAACCAGTAAGTCTGCTGGACTCTGCGTATTCAAACAGGATGTATGTATGTAATCATGTCGCCATAATCTACATTAATATTTAATGATATACATAAATGGTAAGCAAACAAATGGTGCCCACACAAACACAGTTGACACTCATGCTTCAATGTCTCAAAATTATATGTTTGTTGTACTTGAATCGGAATATTTTTTCACCTGGTATAACCTATGCCGTAGTTGCCATCAACGAAATTTGGTGTCATGGGTTAAAATTCAGTCCCAATGGACGCCCAGGATACTTATATTAGACTGCCGGATACTGCGCAACTATATTGTTGGTGTTGGCTGTTGATTGATTTGCGCTCAAATTCACATTACCAAAATTACTTTGTATGAAAGTGCAGATGAAATACAGACAGAAATATACATTTACGGAGAATTGAAATAGGCACAATTGGAAACATCCTGGTGACAGAGAAGACAACTCGTAGCGATTTCATCTTATTTGCGCTGAAATCGGTTTGAAAATACGTTTACATGTGTGTGTATGTGTGGCCTTCTGAATCGAATGCCAACACAACTTTGAGATTTGTTGTTTTAAATCGGACGCATAATATCATGAATAAATTTACACGGGAACTTACTGAACTGGAAATAAATTTATTTAAAGGGAAAGAGGGTAATAAATTTATGAAAGCGATTACCAATTTGAAATATCAATCCACATGATGACACATTAATCTATAATCAAGATAATCATGCAATTTTTATGCCTCGATTTTCGCTGTTTTTTTTTTCTCTCTCTCTTTACATTTTATTATTACATTTCATTTTTAATTGGCTTGTATGGCGTCAGACAAACTGACTCGGTAATTTGCATACTGGCTGATGTCATATCTCTCGACCCCATTCACTCTGATTTATCCATTAACATTATTTACGATGCAAGACTTTCTCTCTCTACCCATTTCGACTTGACTCGACTTTACTCTACTCAACTCAAGTATAATGGATCTTTAAACAAGGTTGCTCTGCTGTGTGTGCACTGTGCAGTGTGCATACTCGCACTTTGTTACTCAACGCTATATATATTTATGTATGTATGCAGATATTTATGTCTAAAGTTAAATAAATTCATTTGTGTAAAGTGTACAGTGCTATCTATTTTAGCTTGTTAACTTGTGAATAATGTTCAAAGCTTATTGTTCTCTACTTCTTTGCGCACGCTCCGTGTCTATCATGTTTTCCTTCATTAGCTTTGACTTTTGCATAAAACATGCGGATGAAACATTTAAAATGCGTTAGACAGTGAAGCATTTGCGCTTCATTGCTTTCGTGTTCAATTTAAAGTTCTAGCTTAAACTTGTAACAATAAGGCGACACCAGCAAGAGTCCATTTGCTTGGTTTGTCCTTGGATTTGAGATTGAACGTCCATACATAAGTTGGGCCTCGAGTTCTTGTTTTATACACGGGACACTGGTACATATTCCGGAGATCTTGTTTGTCTTGAGTAATTGCCTGTTTTTAAAATACAACGAAGGTTTTTTTTTTTTGGTCCATACATGAAATTAAAGTGTAATTGAGAATGTAAAATGTATGCTGCATTTGACTCACTCGAACATTTATGACGGGCATTGACGGAAACAGTTCCTTCAACCGAGATTCAACGATGATACCAGACTGAATGTCCCATCGTGCACCCTCCATGAATAATCCTAATTAACAGTGTTTTTCATGTGATGGACAATGTTTATTGAATTAATATTATTACATGCGTATAAAACTCTATCACAAATCATCATACCGTTAATATAAGCACCTTCTCTCGGAGCGACACTGTTGACGCGAAAATTTCAAACAGAGACAATTTTTCCATGTTACTTAAACAGCAATTGTTAATGAAATTCGAGTGGGTTGAGTATGAGCATGGTACTTACGTGAATTCTTCTTTTTGTTTTTTCGTTACATCGCAAACCAAACACATTTTATCTAGCGGCAGTTCGTTGCGCCGCGCTGTACTTTGCATGATTGCAGTCAGCAGTGACTGTGGGTTAAAGAAACCGGCCAGCCACACGCAAGTCGGTAGCTGAAAGTCATTGATAACAATGATAAAGTGTAACAAAACACACACACATGTTTTGTGGAAAAGAGAAATCGAGTGAGAAAGAGTATTCGAGCAATTCTCCAATAAAACAAAAAAAAAAATCTATTTTTACCACGAAATCAGTTGACCACGCTTCCAACTCTCGTAGACGCATCAGCAAGTCAACGAACCAATTTGTCAAACCCAATAACGATGGATAAGCACGCGAAGTCCAAATTTGTGGCACTTGGTCAAGAAACAGTGCATTCTCTAGCACCTCCATTTCGGAAGTAATCGTTAATTCACCTTTCAAACCCAAATCCAATTCCCTTAAACTACGCTTCATTTCACCCGTCAAATAATTCATACGCTCACATTCTTGAAAAGCGACTATGATGTATCTGACAAACGGAAGAAGAGAAAGAAGAAAAAGAAGAAATGTTTCGTTTGAATGGTCCAATTGAAATCGAACACAAATTCGGCAACGAAATAACATACGGTGTTCGTTCTTCAACTTTATTCATGATTTCCAACATATTGAATTCTTCCGGCAATTTTTCAATGATTTCATCCAACACTTGTTTCACTTTATCCTCTCGCGTCACCGTCGTTCCACTTCCGGCACCTGGTTTTTTTTTGCCACCATAATTCAATCAATTTTTTCCGAATTGAATAAGATGGAAAAAGGAGATAGAGAAAGAGATCAATCAGAAAAATGTGCTCATCATATATTTAAAAGCATTGGCACATACCTGCGTCACGTGGCTGCATCTCGAATACAGTTCGGAACAGATTTTCAGATGTTGTTGTCAAGAAGCCAATTTCAGCGTTTGGATGCAAACCATATAACACTGAAATTTAAAAAAAAAAAAAATGAATCATGAGTTCTGAATATGCAAAAGTGAAACATGAATTTACATGGACTTTCGCTAGGCATCATTTCATCAATATAATTGTGATATCCTTGGTAGTCGGTGTTTGGCGGTGCGGGGAAGCCAGGAGCTAAATACAATTCGCCATCAACTAAATCCGATTGCATGTACTCTTCCAAATAGGAAATGCATAATTTTCGGTCCCAATCGTCAGTAATATGACCGCCGTACATAATTTCACCAAACAAATACCTATATATATACATATATATATATATATTAAAGTGAATGGAGCATGTGGAAAATCATGAAAAAGAATCGACCAAATACCGTAAATCTTCCCATGGCACTTTGGAATTTGCCTCCAAATAATTGTACAACACTGACACACTGATGTTCAAGTCACCCACATTGAACGGATAAATTTTATTCCATCCCTGTGCGCCGAATTTTCTTCGTTCACATTGAACGGCATGGAAATAGCACAGTGAAAAGAGAATGGCTTTGAATTCTGCCTCTTTGCTCGACATTTCCAGTGTTTCTTGTGTAAAATTGTCGAGAGCTTTGTGCAAGTTTGCTTGCATTCCAGACGGTGGTTCATTAGTTATTTTTATGGACGATTCCAAGATGCCTTGTGGAATAATATGTGCCGCAGCTGTGGCAGCCGGCTCAGCACTTATGAATATTCGATAATTTTCATGTGAATTTTCCGCATAGTGGTCCATTTTTTTCTCAAGCTGAGGCAACCATTTCTTTGTCAAATGAATATTTTGTAGAACAACCCAATGGCCGTGTTTAGCTGCCTCTTCCATCGCCAATTCTGCCACATCCTCTTGGCCTTGGCCTAAGTAACAGTGTTATTCATGTGATGTGATGGGCAAAGTTTATTGAATCAGTATGTGTATAAAACTGTTTCATAAATTATCATACCAAGGGATACATTATGGAAGTTATTGTTGTCAGCTGTATAACCTATAGTGTGACCGAGCGCCTCGACATCCTTCAGCGGATTGACACCGGGTGACAGTATGAAGAATATCGGTGTGGATGGACTTGCCTCTTCAAATGACTTTGCAAATTCCATTGTTCGATTTTCGACATATTTCGGACCCAATTTCTCTTCAATGAAACTTGTTACAGCGTAGCACATTCGGTCCGGTCTGTTTGATAGCACGAACAAATATATATTGATTATTACTTCTATATCAACTTATCGTTGAGCCTGACAAATATAGACGAACAAAGGAGGATATGATGAACTACAACATGATAATTTACCGAAGTGCGCGCATCATACATAAGCGCTGCAAAGCTGTCTTGTTTTTCCATTCTTGTGGAAACTTTTCCTTCTCAGGACAATCGCTTTCGACGAATTTTTTCCACCGCTTTGATGAAGTTTCAATATCTCGATCCAAATTCCTAGAGAACAATAACGACATTTTTTCCTCGAATTAGTTTTTCAACCTTTCTCTCTCTCTCTTCGATGGAGAAATAAAAAAAACACTACCGGAATTCCTCTTTGGCCGATAAAGTGCAGACGCCACCCCATGATGTATTTGACAGGAATTCAACTGGGCTGGTAACGTGCGGCTTTATCGGAAAACGTAAAAAGAAATCCAGTTCGGCCGATGTGATTTCTTCATTCATCAACAGAATCTGTGAACGAGTCGAGTAAAAAATAAAATCACACCAAATGAACATCGCGCTCCATCGATTAACTCAACGAAAAATGTGGTTGGCTTCTATAGTAGTGATTAGTATATATGCAGGCGTTTAAGCGAAATAAAATCATATGTTCATACCTGGAAGGCTGTTTGTGACGCAAATATCAATTTGTCACACTCGAATAAACCTGATCGGAACAATGATGGTATAAAATATATATTATGCCAACGGCAAAATCACAAAACACCAACCTCTTGATGTATATTGAAATACGGAGAACGAAATGCAGTCAATCAAATTATTCACACGACTCTCAACTTGGTCAGACGCTTCAGCTTTTGCTATTGCCTTTTGAAATACAACACTGAATGCTTTTAGTGAAAATTGATAAATTGGGTTGATTGAGTTCAAGTCGTTGAGTATGAAATACAACAGACTAGCACGAGCAGCGGCCGGACGATAGCATTCACGCGCAACATCAATCTCTTGGGACGTTATTTTCGCTTCGGCAACCTAAATTCAAAAATTCACACATTATAAATTTATGACCGCAATATAACGCAAGTTTTTCCATCTTTTTCTTCTTCTTTTTCTTTGAACCTTTTCTTCAATTTCGGTGGCCGTTCGTTTAGTGATTTCCAAATTTTCTACCAAAGCTGTGTCGCCCAATATGTTCTCACCAGCTGACGATAAACGGGACAATAAATCATCCTCAAGACTTTTGAGCATAATTTTGAAATCATTTTGTTGTTTGGTCAATTGGGCTTTCAATTCTTCAAGATCCGGTCGCTCTGCTCTTACCACTTCTGCCAATAGCTGATCCTCTGTCAATGAGATGGGATTCTATCTTATTTACTTTCATAGTTGTTGGAATAGTTGCATATGAATGCAAGAATGAATGTACAAAACGAACCTAAGCCATCACGAGTGACTGTAAAATTGATTAACGTCGTTTGGGCCTGCATTTCTGGCTTATAATGCGGATTTGCCAACTTTGTATGCAAGATGAGACGGAAAGTTGGATTATATTCCACTTCTTTGTCGCCAAGTTTAATTGCTCTGGAAATTGAAAGTGGAAGAAGAAGAACGACCGAAAATCCATTCGCATGATTGGCCAAACGTGACATGTATAATAATTTATTATAAAGAGTATTCAATGGGATTTCATCGGCTGCTTACCGGCCCTTTTTTATGGTATTTCGGCCTAATAAAGAGTCTAAAACCGGTTCCAAAGTCTCTGTAATATTTTCAATCAGCACGGTTTTGCCTGCAAAATTCATAATTATTTGAAATAATTTAAAAATAAATAAATAAATCCAATGACAAAATTGTTATTCTGAATGAAAAATATACCATGTATCAAGCCTTGTTCAATCGTCTCCAAATATCCCTTTTGACCCATTCGAATAATTCGCAATTCTTCGCCATACTTTTGTTTTATCCATTTCACGCCTACCAAATTCATCGTAATAATAATTATTTTCCGAAACCATCTAATATATATATGAATGGGCAAGCGGAATAATGAAACGTAATTCTGTTTTTAAATGAAGTGCCTCTGAGAAAAATTTTCAGTAAAAAAGCCCCACAAAAATATTGTCTGAATAAGATTTTCATACAAATTTTTATCAGACAATATTTTTGTGGGGCTTTTTTACTGAAAAATTTTCTCAGAGGCACTTCATTTGAAAACAGAATTACGTTTCATTATTCCGCTTGCCCATTCATATTTGAATCAATAAGAATAATAATAAAGCAAACCTTGAAGCTGAGGGTCTATCATAAGCGGCCATCTTTCCGAATTCGAGAGAATCGTTGCATTTTCAATGGACATGCGATCCGATGGTAGGCCTTCATTCTGCCACATCGCGATAGTTGTATCGTCCGTGAGCAGCGTTAACGGGTCCAAACCTTCAGTTATCGGAATCGGAGGTTCAAGCGAACGCAAATTCGTCAACCATAATTTGTTCATCAAATCCAATCGAAATTGTTTGGTGAAACATCCAACATACGATATGAATGCCGTTATCAAGAGTGTGTCGCCCGGTAAGGTGGTGCCTTGTGCCATAAAACTGCCAACGAATCACAACAGAGAAAACGGTAAATAAATTGAGTAAAAGTGTTTGGTTGTTAAATGCATGAAAATTTGTCGTACTCAGCAACAGCTTGTGCCCAACGCACGTTTTCCGAAGCAAGGCCACCGACTAATCGGTTTGCCAGTTGAATTGTGGCTTGTGTCGCATCCGCTTCCTTTTGACAACGTAATTTATCAGCTGTAGCTTGTTCAAAATCAGCGGTCAACTTGGACAGTTGTTCCTCGAGGTTTTGCACTTTGCGCTTTATTATACTGAGCTTTTCTTGTGCGGTAGCCAATTCAGCATTTGCTTGCGCCAATGCTCGTCGCTTTGGTTCAACGTCACAATAAACCTCGTAAAATTTTATAATATTGATTACCCAAGCGCATAGACCAGCTGCTGCGCCCGATTTACTGCTCACGAAAATCGGGTCGAATTCCGAATCATTCAAGTACGGTTGAATTGCCTGCAAACAAAATTCCATAAATTTACTCATCAGCAGAAGGTGAATGGAAGAGTGCAGGCAGATGCAGACTGTTAATTTCCATTAGCTAACCTTTATCACATCGCTGTGGATATGCTCTTTATCGTAATTGATGAGCGCATCCAAAAATGCATCTACTTTAGCCATCATCATTTTTGCTTGTTTCCAGCTTCTGTCTTTCGGAATTTTTCCATTTGTTGCCATCAATACCATCACCGCAGCCGTTACCTTGGTATGATAATTTATGAAACAGTTTTATACACATGTAATACTGATTCAATAAACTTTGTCCATCACATCACATCATATATTAATATTTACATTTGTGACAGCCCCCGGAGGCGAACCAAAAGATTTCAACTCAGTTAAATTGTTTTTATTCAATGTATTCAATGCTTCTTGTGCGGCTGCCAATGCGGGCTCCGCTTTTACCAGATCCTCTTCGCAATCTGCGAAAAACGGGAAAAGAATGTTCATGTTCAACGAAAAATATGCGAAATTGTTGTGAGAATAAGAGCAAAAAAAATGTAACCTTTTTGCTTTTTCGACACTTCCTCCGCAATAATGCCCACCTTCTCCTCTTCGTCATCGGCTATTGTTTTTTCCGCCTGCAAATGTATGAAGATGATGAAAAATATGGTTTCATTAAATCTCTCCTGAAAGTGGAGCGTACAGATTATATGCTCCATAATTCTGATCTTATTATTTTTAATACAATAACTATAGAACATTTTTTAACATGATGAATCGGATAAAAGCGCGTTCTCATGTTTTCATTAACTACACAAGTTTAGTGACGGAGCGAAAGAGAGAAGGACAGAAAACGCTTGACACTTGCCTGCACTTTTTCCGTTTCAATGCGAACAATTTCGATAAGAGCATCAGCTGCATCATTTTTCTCTTTCAGTTCAATCTCTTGAATGGCAAGTGTTTTCTTCAGTTCTGCCACCTGCAGTGCAGTGCTGTTTAGTTTCTCCAAACCATTTTCCAACCGTTTTATCTTTGAACTGAGCTCGTCGTGCTTACGATTTAACAGCTTCATATATAACGCTATTTGCTCAAGAAATGATTTTGGCGTTGTATAGTTGTATCGTCGTTCAATTTGCAAATACGCTTTTGACGTTGTATTTACAGAGGTGTGAACGTATGCCATGAAACGTGTCACCGAGTCACGATATTCCTCGGGAACTTTTGACTCTCGCAAAAAACTAAGCGCAACGGAGACCAATGCCTTGAAACAAAAATTTCATGGTTTAATTTATAAAAATTGTTTTTTAAAACAGAAAACTTCAGGGGGATTACAGATTGACAGTTGAGCTACATGATATATACTGAATGAATAGTTCTGTAGCTTGCCGTGTATGATATTGTAGGGCAAACTGCGGCGCTAGTGTGCTTGTGTTTCAATCTACAAACCCCCTGGAAAACTTAATATTATAAACTTACTTCTTGCGGCCACTCGTGGAACCAGTTGATCGATGTACAATTGATGATTGCGGGAAATTTGCGTGAACGTACGCGTAACGTGGTACCGACAGGTGAGAAACATAGCACGATTTTCAGTTGCTTTCGCACCCGATCAATAAAAAAGTTCCAACAATTCTCACGTGTATCGACCATTCCAGCACCTAGTAAATAGCATAGGTACAGTTTTTTTTTTCTGGCACAAATTCAACAATTTCCCAATATCATACTCCTTCCTACCTTTGACTTCGTTGCGAACACCAGCGATTATGTTTTCAATTTCGTCGTCTGGGAAAAGGTCTGGGATTTCGCCAGAGGCAAGCATGTCATTAATCATAACGAGGAAGGTCTCAAATGGTATTTGTGCATCGGTCATCAAAAACATGATACCGACATTTTTCAACCCGGCTTTCAAATACAATCCAGACAGTTCGTTTTTGAGGTCGGCTACTCCGTATCCCTTTTTCAATTGGATTTGCGTAACTTCCAAGCCGGAAATGAAGGCAGCCAAACGAGCCAGAGATTGTTTTCCGCTTCCGCCTACACCAACTAATAAAGCACTTCCCCGTGGCAATTCTAATATACGGTTAATTCTGTGTGTGTGTGCGTTTTTTTCATGAAATTCCAAAATAAATAAAGATTTAAATATCGCACAACATACATCATACATAGTATAATATTGGATAGGGAAATTTGTCCTCTTTACCGGCAAATATGCATCATGGCATCCTCGAAAAGTACCAAATTCATAGCAGCCACCAAATCATTGTATGAGTTTTGTGCTTCGAGCAACAATTTTGTCAACGATTGCCAATCCTTGTTTGGCATATACTTCGGTTCGCCGATTCCATTGGCAAAATGACAATAAATGTTCGGCTTCTCGAAAACGATTGACTCGTCAATGTCTTCAAACGATTTTTTCACGATGTCCGTTTGCATTTTTGTAAAGCTATCGATATCCTTGTCATCCGTTAATTTATCACCATAAACGCGATGACTTTCATGCAACCACAAGCGAATAATGTCAACGGGTGATGCCAGACAATCGCTGGTGCTGAACAGCAAACCTTGGAATATATTGCTGAGATCTCGTAAATTGAAAATGTAATGGAATTTTACAGCGGTCGGTAGGAATATTTGCGACACTTTATTATGCAGTGCGAGTGAAGCTGAAACGATATTTGCACCGATTTTTGTTACGGTCGGATTGAACTTTTGCTCGGCATTGATGAAATGCGAACTGAGAATCGAATGATAAATGGTTGTCAGCGACTCGGTGTTGGGAAAATTTACGGCAAACACGCAAAAGTGACGCTGCAAACGAGGATTAATTGTGAAACTGCCGCTCGTTGGATTCATGCAAGCCACGTATTGACAGTTATGTATGTCTTTCAGCGTGAGACGATTGCGATCATACCAGTGGCCATAATCCTTTGAAAGAAAAAAAAACGAAAATAAATGAGAATATTCAATTGCTGATTCGATTATTTCATACCATGTGCTGTCGAATTAGTGTGTGGGGTTGTACGGTGCCGTATGTGTCCACCTCGGGCATATTCATATCATCAATGAAATAAATCATTGTCTTGTTGCCAGGCGGTCCAAAATTACGTCCCGCTTTCTTTTCGAGTGGCTTTTCCAAAACCTTCTGCAGCATCTCGCTTGAGGTGTAAAAGTTGAACGGAACATTTTGAATCGCATATTTTTCACTCAGTGCATGTAGTTTCTCATTCACGAGAACCGTTTTTCCACATCCAGCCGTACCTGAAAGAGAATCATTCGTATGCTGTTGCCATTTTATTTCGCTGAGATTAATCACCGGCAAAAATTATTTGTCATCTATCAGAGAGTCAACACTTTGTGAAAACAGACGTTGTGAAAATCGAATTAGAAAAACGATATTCCGTTTTAATTGAATGTGACATAACAATGCCATCTATATTTATTATGAACATGTACTGACCAACCAACATGCATGGATGCTTTTTTGCAACTAACAAATCGAAGAAATAACGGACGCGTATCGATTCGGATGTATGCACTAGTACCGCTTGCAATGGCACATCGATGTCCAATTCGAATTTTGGTATTTTCTCAGTCCACGGCATAAATTGCTTTGTTTCTGGATCAATGTAATAATCGAAAATAGTACCGGCTCCCGTTGGAAATTTTACTCCTTTGAATTCGTTGACCCACCACTTGCTAAACTCAATTCGATAGTCGACGGCTTGGTCTTGAAACACAGCCGAGCCGAATGCCCAAATGCATGCAAAGCAGAAATACAGCTCATAGATTTCTTTGGAACTGTCGGGTTTTACATTGGCCGGCACCAGTAATGCGTCCAATAAATAACATAGCATTTGAATGTGAGCCATTTCGGCAATCGGAGTGATTTTTTTGAAGCGCGTTCGGATTGTTTCTAAGCACGATGGTATGTATTTGTCAAAGAAAATCACTAAATTTGATTTTTCCGTAGATATTTTACGTGTTTCTATCCACGAAGTAACATAAGGATTCCAGCCAAGATCCTGTGGATTTATATACAAAATGCCAGCTCGGCTCACCTTATTGCAGAATACAGAAAGAGAGAAAGAGATGGAAAGATAGATGAGTTGTGCGATGAAACTACATAATACACAAGGAAAAGTATTTGTTATTCAAAGAGCTGGTTACCGTAGCCGGTGTCGCCGTTCTTAAATTGGAAATCTGTTGGATTAGAGGGAATTTTTCAACCTTTTTGTGATGCTAATTAATTATTTTAAAAAGAATTTACTTCGAATATAAGGCGCATTGTTGGTGTTAGAGCGATACGTTCGTTACTTGCCAACGTTAGAATTTTGTTATCATCCATGACGGTGTTTAAACTTTCAATCCACCTACAAACACACATGCGCGCGTTCAAGAGCGAGAAAAACGGATGATGAATTTATTCAAAGCCAATGAGATGAGATAATATTATTTAGAAATAATAACGGTTCAACGGTATGTATGTGTGCATAAGCGAATGTTTGAGATACTTGCATTGGGTCTATATCGCCGTCGAGAACGATCCATTTTGGATTATCTCCCACTAAGTTTGCTTGATCTCGCATTATCACCGAAAACAGCCCATCTTTCCACTCTCTTGTCGCCGGATTTATTATGCCGAAAAGTTCGTCGTTCGTCACTGCATACAAAGCGAGTAAATATATCGAATTTTGTAAACGGAAAACTCGTTCCATGGCGAGAGTTGAGAAATTGTTTTGATGTATGTACTTGTACATTGTACAATGTACATATATTCAATCAAAATATTTACCTGCTTTGGGGCTGTGAACAAAAAGCATATCAATTAAAATTGCTTCCTGAAGTAGAAGAGGGCGGAGTAGGAAGAAGAGGAGGAATTCTAAGTAGTTCAACACTCACTTTAAATCATTGTATATTGGCTTCTTGTTATCGTTTTGATAGCTTTTAAATAGTGTTTTCCAAACTTGAGTTTTTCCAGTGCCCGCATTTCCAACGATGAATACGGAGTGTCGAACTTCCAACAGTTCCTCCAGTTGTACAACTTTTAGAATAAAATTATCTTCCGGTTGTAAGAGCATGTCGTTGGCCGCCTGCTTGACCGTTCGTTCAAATTCTTGGTCTCGTTTACGTGGCACATCGAGAGCCGGAAATAAATCGAAAATTAGACCTGAAAATAAAGAACATAAAACGGAAACATTGGGTTAACAAGTGAACATATACATTTTGTTGGCTGTGATTTTCCCAACAATGTGATGCATTGTTTCTGCAAACAGACAGTTTTTATTACACACCCATAAAAACGGGCATATCATCGGTGACAATTTTCGGAATGTTAAAATCTCTAAGAGCTCGCATCAACACTTCTTCTTCGGGTCGACCGGGATCGCCTCTTTTTAATGAACCTGCAACAACTAACACAGATTTAATAGCGCGCAATCCCCAATCGTAATGATCTTGTTTCGATAATAGTTCTTTGCACAGTGTGTACAATGTGATAAATTTGCGAGCCAAAACACGGGCTTCTTGAAATCCTTCCGCAACCAACATAATTTCACAAATCAATTCGAAATCGGGCACGACCATGGCACAAGGTCGGAACAATGCTTTCAAGTTCTCGGCTAAAGCGAATGAAAAGGAAACAAAACAAAAACACATTCTTTGCATTTGCACGTTTCACACATCTTATGCAAAGGTATCATGTATACATACGAAGCTCGGTGCGCCCAGCGTATCCTATAAAAATCAAATGGATGATTTACAAGTACGAAAATGGCATTTTGTTTATGTGCATCAAACGAACCTGGATTCATCGTTATAAAAATGCCAACCGTAGGAACACATTTTATCATCTCACCCATAAAATTAAAAATATCTTTCTTGTCTCGAATGGCGTCTTGTACGCTTTTCACTTGAACGGCAACGACGGACAACACTTCCACGGAAATTCGATTGAATTCTGCGATAAACACACAAAATTTACAGTTTAAAAAAGATTGATGCTGATTTGAAACAATACTTTGTATTTACCGTCAAAGCAACCCCACGATCCAGTTTGCGCGAGACCCTTGTAAATATTGCCGCATGACTAAAATTTGAGGAAAAATATTCTAAATTTCTTCATCACAAGAAATGGAAAATAAACAAAGGAAAAGAATGGTTCCATTTTACTTTGTAATCCATTTGCTCGGAGCAATTAAACACATAAACCATGATGCCAAGCGCACGACCCAAATCTTTAGTCGTTTCAGTTTTCCCTGTGCCAGCCGGGCCTTTGAAATTTGTTAAAAAAAAATTTCAAACGATTACCACATTACCTTGCCAAGTTTCATTTCGCCACAACTCATCCAACATTTATGTTTGTAATTTAAATATTTACCCGCTGGTCCACCACCCATAATCAAATGAAGTGATTGCGTTAGAGTAATGTAACATCGATCTGTAAGTGGTGTTATGACTAATCGTGGTGTATTGCCCAAATATTCATAGCAGTATAGAAACTGGGCATCACAAATATTTGCAAAACAGTCATTCTCATCATCGTCCCATCGGTGACGCAGCTGTGATTGCCATTGAAACGCAGATGCACTTTCTAGTTTCGATTGGATTAGCTTCAGTACGACATCTCGACTGTGCACGTCAATTGTGCAAATTGTCATGATTTTCTGTCGGTCTCCTTTGGTCAACTCACCCAACAGCAGGGAAATCAACACACTTAGCTGATGCACTTGTTTCTTCTGATGACGTAAAAAAAGGAATGCCTTTGGATTTTATTGTTTTCTCTTTTATAATGTGCCAGTATGCTAATCTCCAAAATGACAACAAAAATGTCCACCATGATATATTTAGGAAAGTGTGTCAAGCATCTCACAAAAAAAAAAGAGAGAAAATTTAAGCGAAAAAGCGGTTTCTACATTGAAATCGGTGCGAGAAAGATTGTCTGCATCGTATCCGTGTTTATATTTTGCGACTGTATATTCAAATGCTACTGTTGGAAAGTGAAAGCTGAAAAAATATCTTTTTTTTTTACCGTGTAGTCTTTCAGTGCATTGTCGTATCCCTGAAACGGAAAAAAGAAGACATGGCCAGCGTCATATGGATGTTTATTTACTTGGCCATTGACCGAGTTTAGTGGCAAACAAACCTCTTCTAAGCGCTCAAATGCCATATTCACTTCAGTCGTCCACCATATCTGCGTTCCGCACAGTGAAACCTGAGCCGGATAATCGAAAAGCCATTGTTCACGCGGTTTCTCTTCGTAAGACACAACCGCTTCCGACATATAGCTTCGAAGCGACGACCGCATTCGATTTTGAACTCGATTTAACCACCCTTCAACCTGAATCACCAAACAAATTTATAACAAACATTTCGAAAACGGCACACAAATCCACATTCAAATTTACTTACTGGCCCATTTACATCAGCCAATTCATTGAATTCAACGTATTCGCTATCTTTGGCAATCATTCCGACCGCACACATCGTTGGATGCTTTTCGTCGGCCGGTCTAAATTTCAGTTTTGCGATTGAATCAAAGAGTTTTGTTAGATGTTTCACCACAAATTCGGGTTGAGTGCCATTGCTAAGTATATCCAACAGATCAGCGGATGACACAAAGTAAAAGCGTGGGAATGCCAAACGCTTTGTCTCCAAATACTCAGCCAATGCTTTCTCACACAAAACTAATTCTTTTTGCAAACCCTCCAATCGTTCACAAAGCCCTCCCCGATTGGTTGACTCGACCACATTCGATCGCTTCGACATTTCATCCATTAAAACCTTGAAATCAGCATCAATCCGGTCAAATCGATCGGAATCGACCGGCAATTGCTTTCGAATATCTTCGGAGCTCATGAAAATGCTTTCCAAGTGGCACCAAGTTCGTTGCACCTCAAACCAAACCTTTTTTTCATTATTTTTTTTTTGTATAAAAATCGATAGAAAATTATGCTCATTTCGTTTGTTTTTTTTTTAAACCGGCAATTTCATTCGATTTACCGTTATCACTTGGTCAGCAACCATCAATTTCTTTTGCCACGACGATACTTCCTCCAAGAAATGGGCAATAAACTTTGATGTTATCAAATTTTGCAAACACACTTGATTCTCTTCTAGCGTTTCGATTAGTTCCTCCGAGGCTAATGTAGAAAAAGTGAACGTTTTTAACGGCAGGAAATCAATCAATTCGACATCAAATTTAATCTAAATGTATTTACCTTTCAATAAGCTACACTGTGTCCTTGGATGGATTTCGTGTTCAAATTCCATTTTCGACCATGTTGAATCCTAACAATAGAAACGGAAGGTTGTTAGTGCAGAAATTTGATGGTTTGGTTTTTTTTTATGATGTTATTTCGCCGTAAACGCACCAAATCACGCAGAATTTTCTCCATCGACATTTCCTTTACAGCCTTATCCACAATATTTTTCACTTCTTCTTCGCATTCGTGCAGATTCAATCCAAGTAGCTCAGCCAACGTAGTATTCTCCCCCATTATGAATTGCACCTAAATTACATTTATAACACAGATTATTATTACCATTATCATTTCAAGTGGATACAACAATAATTGATGGTTTACAATAGTACGCATGCTTTTATTGATCTTAGCTTATGGAGTTAATGTAGTGTAAATATGAATTGAATTATATGAATGGTGCTCGAATTATAATTGGATGCATGCCTAATGAATGTTGGGCAAAATTTATTTACAAAGCCATATCAGAGACTTACGGTAATTGTTTTCGACAATTCAGCTAATTTCTGAAAATATGTTCGGAAAATGAAAAATGAATATTCCTTAGAAATAAGTAGTGCGTATTTATGTACAACTTTTGAAAATTTATACATAGACTCCATTCGTTCACATTTCGCGGGCATAAATCAACACGGGTGTGAGCATAGTAGATTCGAATTTGGAGTATTTGTAATGAAATTGCTTCATCAATAGATTGTATGTTGATACATTTACCTTAGCCCTGAAATGCGCGATTTCTTCATTTTTGACTTATTTGTATATATGTTATGTGCTGGCATGAAGATGGAGGAAAACCTCACTTTTATCACCCATCTAGGATTCGAACATCGCAGATTCCCATCTAGCGATTTTGACTAGTTTACACTAGATAAAATCGATTTTTCGATTTTCAAAAGTAATCTCATTTAGACTTTTTTCGTGGAGACCTTTCACTTTTTTCGACACATTGACAAACCCTTCTGTTGAAATTTTGGACCACCATTTGGCAAATTTTTTACCACCACTTCGAATTTTTGACCTTGCACACGTCTGCTCAGCATATTTCCTTTGAAATATGCATTCAAAAATATTCAGTTGATTTTTTTTTAATTCACTCTCCACATTCGGTCACGTCAGGATCCAGTACGTGATTTAAGGGTTGAAAAGATGCTTATTTACAAAGCAGAACACTATATATATACTGAATAATTTCGATAGTATTTCTCTAATATTTACAATATTTACAATGTAAACAGGTGCGGTAGAGATAGTAACGAACCTTGGTGGAGGCCATCAATTGAATCCAATGACGTTCTCGGATCGCGGGATTTTGAAGTTCACCAACCGCTCGCAACGATGTGAGCATGTTCTTGACGGTAGATTCTAGCATCAAATAAGCATCCCAACCACGCATCTCTTTGTCTAACAAGCGAACGTCTTTAGCGAACTTCTTGCATTCTATATCCATATTTTCCACATCGATTTTCCGCCATGGAGTCTTCTTCCAATCTTCGATGCTTGTTCGCACAAGAAATATATAATCCCATAATTGCTGAAAAACAATTCAACGGGTAATTAATCGTTCTTGTATTGCAGATATATATTGAGTAGTAAATCGAATTCTTACCTTGAGTAATTTAAGCTCTTTTCTACATTGTTTCAGTATTTTAAACTCCGGCACATTCACTTCGAACAGACTGCCCGAGCTTTGAATATCTTTCATAACATTTTCCAAACGTTCGATATCGTTGTGCACCCGGTCTAATAGCTCATATGGATGTTCGCAAATGAATTTGAAAAAATCATAGTTTCGAAATACGTCCCGAAAGAATAGTATGTGCGCATCAAAGTTGGTGATTTTATTTCGTATGGAAACGACTTCGATTGCTTGCAACGGTGCAACCTGTTGCTTGACAATGGTGGCAATTTTCTTCGTGTTGATCCATTGGTCGGGCAATTCTTGCAGCAGAACGTTAACCTCTTCGGGAATATCCATATCGTAAAACTTTAGTAAATTGATAATTTCTTGCATTGGTTCGAACATTTCATCTGTTGTCACCGCCCGTTCTTTAACATTTAGCAAATATGCCATGATGTTAACCAATCCATCGTAGTCACCTTCAGCAACTTGTTGGAGCAGTTGCTCGTCAGCACGCCGTATAAAATTTGCTAAATCGATTAAACTGCTTGTCACGCGATCAACCAAATGATTTTTAAACATGTTACCCCATTTTCGTACGATATTCAACAGAGACTGCCGAAATGGGCGCACATCCACTTGAAACCAGGAAAAAAACACTTGCACCGCATTAATTTTCTCAATTTCAGCATATAATGACTCATAATTGTCGATTTGTTCGCGAAACGCCTCAATGGTCGGTTGACTCGGTTGCGGCGCGGCTGTATCTCGCAAAGCAATCAAATCAAGCTCATCACCCTCAAGAAAACGACCATATTCCAAAAACATTTCCATACATTTATCACGTTCGTCCAACCACAAATACGAATACCTTTCGAAACCATTACAGAATTCGGCCGCTTCTTCTACGACTCTCTCAACACCTTCCAATATTTCATGTTTCATATCAGTTATGTCTGTATTTGCGGCTATGGCAGCCATATAATTTTCCCGTTCGCTTAATTTGAGACTCTTGAAAAGGAATGACATTTTTATTATGTCATCGATTAACAGGGTGAGCAGATTGTTGAATCCGTCAGGGTCTTTTGGATCCAACGATGGCACAAACACTAAAATCGGGTCCAGCAATTCGAGACGTGATTCAAACAATGGCGCCAAATTATTCAGCGGATACATTTGTTCGACAATGTATCCCAGACTGATGCCAATCGTCAAAGTCAAGTTTTTGTATACAATGTCATCCACAAACGATACGTATTCTTGCCATGCCGGATTTGACTCTTCCATGCCGAAATAGTCTTGGTTTTCTTTCAGTAAACTGTTGAGGAAATGAAGTCAGTTGGAAAATGTGCGAACTAGGAAAAAAAAAAAGACACGAACAAACAATAATTACCTATGTACGGTATTCGAGGCGATTTCAATTTCGGAATATCTTTTTGCAACGCGATTGGAGCGCTCGTTAAGACACAAAACACTGTCTTTTTTCCTATCCTTTCGTTCGAATAACGGCTGCTTAATCCATGTCGATGTGATTCGCTTAATTTCATTCAAATTGAATTGCGTCTTCTGCATTCGAACTTGTAGGCGCTCGACAGGGTCTCGTAAATTTTTCAAATATTCCATAATGTCTAGGAGATATGTAAAGAATCAAATTCTATTATTTGTTATTTCGGTATTAATTCATCCAATCATTACTCTCTGAATTCCAGGATAGAGCTTTCACCCCCGTCGCAATGCCCGAATCGATTTCTTCAATTTCCAATTTAATTAGATTCAATTCGACGGGTGTGCTTTGTTGAATAATCTACAAAAGAAATGTAATTCAATAGTCTCTCTGGCTCATTGTTACATTTGTGAAAGAAACAATTTTGTGAGATTTACATCATTGTACCAATCGATGGTCTTCTCTAAATTCAGCGTAAAATCTCGGTACATATCATTATTTGCAGCAAATTTCAATCCTTCTTGTGGAATATTTTCTCTGCCCATAACTTTTAAGTGGTAAACTTCGCGAAGTAACGCAAATAATTGTTTGTCAAAGTTTAGAAACAAACTTTTATCAGCCGATTGTCCAATTAGTGATTTCTTCAAGTTTTTCTCGATTTGTTGTGGTACTTTCTCTGCCCAATCGTTGAATGTTCTATCCTCCAATTCGCCAAGTAAGCGCATCAGATCGTCATATCTTTTGTATAGCTCTTCAGCTTCTGGTGATTTTGAGATTGGATGTTGCAACGCTTTAAAATGGTTGAACGGCATTGAAATACGAATACTCAGTTGTTTTGTCCATTTTAAGGTGGAAATTATGTTCGGGAATCGTCGATCAACAAACAAATGACCTTTTTCATTAAAATGTTTCATTTGAAATGCAAATATTTTCTCACAGCATCGCAGTTCCTCATCCAACATTTTCAATAGATCGATATAATTGTCGGTAAATGCTTGTTTGATTTTCGGTCGATCCAAAACGCTGCCCAAAATATTAATCAATTTAAAAGCACTTTCCAAACTGTGGCAATCGTTGAATGCTTGGCAAAATATTCCGGCCAATTTAATATCCAAATCAAGTATTCGCTGCTGGAAAATGTCAAAGTCTTGCATAAACTTTGAATCGTCCGGGTCGAGTACGTCATAGGTTTTGGCGGAGAACGATGAAAAGTGTTGATTGAAATCGGTGAAAATGGTCGTGATTTTGGATGATAGTTGCCTTCCTTTGAGCCCACCAATTTCCACCTTTTCCAATTTCAAAAATTCAATCACCGTCGAGAAAAACCATTGAATTGTATTCAGACGCTCCAAAAAGGCATTGAAACGGTCGAAAACGGCATTAGGATGAAATGTCCAGAATAAAACCTAATCAAATCAAATACAACGGTACGGTCAATCAAAAAACTACCGAAACCGATTAAACTACTCGACAAAAAAAAAATGGGAGAAATGGACACAGCGGCACATACTGATCTTTGATTCTCGATGAAATAGCTATCCAATTTCTCTTTGTATTTATCGAACAGGGCACGAAAATGTTTCAATGTTTGTACGGTGTGCGTAATCCTTTGCATTGCCTCATCAATGTCCGTATGGAAAATGGTTTGAGGGTCCAAAAAACGTTTGGCCTTAACATAAAAGAGAAATAGACAGAGAATCAGTCACACATGCTGTGTTTTATTTGTCACATGGAGTTGCTTTAAGCGATCAAGAGCAACAGCAAAACGTTACTTGATTCACCTACCTGGTGAATGAGTAAATTGCATATTTGACGTAGAAGCACGGTTATTTTGGATGATTGACAGTAATATCGTGACCGCGACCACACCAAACAAATAACATGCATTAGTGGCTCAATCAACGGCTTTGCCTCAGCAAAATCCGTCTCTTCTATTTGGGTAAAATGCTTTTGCAGCGGATTCAAATGGATACTGATATCTCTGGATTCGGCAAGCGCTATTTTTTTTGCACCGTCGAAATGAAAATGAAGAAAGTGGAAAAGAATAAAAAAAAAACAACACGAAATGAAACGAAACCACAAGTAATTTCAATTTCATTACAGAAGTGAATCTGAAATATAGATTATTCTATGTCTAAACGCAATATGTTTTGTCGCTTCTATTCGCATTGTCTACGTTTATGTTAATTCGTTTTGCCGTTTCACAATGAGAGAGAAATAAAACAAAAGCGACAGTACCATGGGCGTGACATGCAGCCACATGGGTACAGCGCCCGTGTACTTCGTAGTGGAAAAAAAGTGAAGCTTGCTTGTCACCAATATTGATGTTCACGAACATCAAATTGTTTATGCGTTATTTCGCCCACTTTATGCACTGGAAATAAAAAGTTCTTCAATTTCTAGCAAATTTCACATATGAATTCATAAACACATCGAGAAAACACAACTATTTTTTCACATAAAAAGCATAAGCAAGATGATTTTTTCGTTGATGGTTGTTCGATCCTGGATCGTTTGTGATTCATCAACGATTTTCAACACATCCATTTTTGATTTCGATATTCCAACTGAATACGATGTTTTGTATTCATTAAACAATTCCATTTTGATCAGAAAATAATTTTTTATTGAAATGGCTGTGACGAAAAACCACGCGAACGATTGCAAACGATAGCACAAACATTAATGTCTAGGAACATCAAATTCGAATTGACATTATTGTCAAAGCGAATTCATCGGGAAACACTGACTTGAAGTTCGACACAAATGTCAAATTAATTCGCCGATGTGAAGCAACAAAACAAAATAAATAAAAATACAAGCAAACAAACATTTTGTGTTGATCTAATCTGCAAGTTTTATATTTTTCCAGAATAAAAACGGTAATTTTTTTGTATTTTATTGTTTCATTCCAAATAAAATCTCTATTGTGATTTTTAAGTATACATTTATAAAAGATATCTTCAAAAATCAACTTTGAATGTAATATAATTTGTTATTGGCGACAAACAATTAATCGAACGCATTTAATCGAACATAAAATAATTTTCAGCCTGCCGGTTTGCTGATGTTCCCCGAATCGACCGACGAAGTGCCCAGTGCCCACCACCGATGTCGAAGAAGACAAACTAATTTCCGTGATAATTTAAATTTTGCCATTCAACATTCCAATAAGGGCAAACGCAGTGTAATCGAAAAACATTTGGAAGGCATCAAGCATTGGGGCCTAAATCGACATGACAAAATCAATCAACCGTCCCATTGTATTGCGAAATCGACGCCAAAGGAAGAAATTGAATGATAAAATCATTAATCTTCCGTATTTGATGTTCCTAGACATTAATGTTTGTGCTATCGTTTGCAATCGTTCGCGTGGTTTTTCGTCATAGCCATTTTAATAAAAAATTATTTTGTGATCAAAATGGAATTGTTTAATGAATACAAAACATCGTATTCAGTTGGAATATCGAAATCAAAAATGGATGTGTTGCAAATCATTAATGAATCACAAACGATCCAGGATCGAACAACCATCAACGAAAAAATCATCTTGCTTTTGCTTTTTATGTGAAAAAAAGTTGTGTTTTCTCGATGTGTTTATGAATTCATATGTGAAATTTGCTAGAAATTGAAGAACTTTTCATTTCCAGTTCATAAAATGGGCGAAATAACGCATAAACAATTTGATGTTCGTGAACATCAATATTGGTGACAAGCAAGCTTCACTTTTTTTCCACTACGAAGTACACGGGCGCTGCTTGTACGAAATTCCGTTTGTATGAAGCATGTCACGCCGATGGACAGTACAGCAACAAAGGCCCAACAGTTGCGTGGCTCGTGAATCTCGTGCGACCGAGTGTGCCGTTCGTTTTTATAGTTTTTTGTCATGCAAACTGTAAATCACTCCCCATAATATGCCTGTGACCTTTTGTCGAGCATTCAAGCACACCGCCAACAATGGCAACAAGACATCGCTTGAAAGCTTCGACAAATTACATTAGATACCATTAAGCACTTTTACCCCTTTCCGAAACTCGCTTTCTCGACCATTGAACATTTTATCTCGAGCCATTCGTTAAGTAGCGAAATAATAGAATAAATTAATGAAATCTGTTTTAATTAAGGGAAAATGAAATATTCTGAACATTCAAGTTACACGATGTGCGATAAGTGTGTTGAATTGGAAATTATGCCGTTTACAAAACGCAATAGACTCATCAAAATATCGAAGAATTAAGCCTTCGCAAGGTTTGGGCATACATATAATATACGTTTGAAAACCACACACATTCAACTCGCATAGTGAGCGAGCTCACTTGCGCGTTTCAATAGATATCTGATGTTGGTCTCAATGGAAATCACTTTTGTTTATGTTCACTGGCTCAATCTCTTCGAATTGATTATGTTCGTGTGGCTTTTTAGGTATTTATCTGATATTAATGGCAAGTTTACTTTAATACCAGCACAGAATAATAAACGTTATATAGTTGGGTAGTTGGATCAAGTTTATACAAACGGATTTTGAACTTTGAGCAAAAAGTTTGCGTCAAGTTTTTGAAATAAGTAAAACCCGACAATTTTAATACATAAACATATCCGTTTAAGAAGTTTAATGCTTTCGTTTTTTTTTCTCCCCAAATGTGTATGTTGCGGAATTTCCTTGTTTTGATTTTCAAACAAAACCGATCCATTCAATATGAGGGTAGCAAAAAACGAAACTTCAGTCACTCGTCGAAAACAATAACAACAACAACAACAACAACAAAGGATTCGTAGTCAAAAACGAAACATATGCCAGAGAGTAATTTGTATTGATTTTCCTAGTTAGTATTGTAATGTAGTAGAGAGTTTGAGTTATTTGGTTTTTTTTATCGGTACCTGTAACGACATTCTTGAACATTGTGCTAAAGCATGGAAAATATGCACTCTGTGTAGCCTCCAATATTGAAGCCATGCTGCGGATTCGTTCGTTGCGCAATTGTTTGTAAATCTGGGTGAAATTCCGTAATCGATTGTTCCAAAATGCAAGCTCTGTCCAAATTATTGATGAAAAAATGTTCGAGATTGAAATGAATAATTCATTATTATTGTTTTAACAAAGGTCTATCTATCGAACGAATAAAGTGTTGCTCACCGACATTCGGCAATGGATTTTGACCTCCGTTAAAAGCGGACGATGGTGTTTCGCTGTACACGTCATTCACTTGTATAACCCATTTAATGACAACACCCTCAATAGCACCCTTCAAATACAAGTCAATTGTGCACTTTTTCGTTTCCTGAAGTTCGGCAGCGACTTTAACAATTTTATCAACACCCACTGGCATCGCAAGTATGGTTTCGCCATTCACTTGACCTTTTACCTGGTAAACGGTACTTTTTAAATTATGCACTTGCTTTTGCACATCTTGCGCAACAATTTCCGGCCAATCATCGTAGTTTTCCTCGTTTGATAGCAACGGTACAAATACATCATCGACCAAACTTGATAATTGATCGATTGCTTTCGTCGCCAAATCTCCGAATACTAGAAAATCGGAGCACTCTTCTTTGGGAATTGGTTCTGGTCGTTTTTTTATGAAATAAACACCTATGTCATTCAAGCAAGAAAAAAATTTGATTTAATCTATCATTCTGCTTGTTCTTCTTCTCCTACAAACTTACCTTTTGTCTTGAGTTGCGTAAGCGGAAAATTGACGAGGGGCAACAATTGAGCCGCGTTGTTGATTACCACAATCAATTGCATTTGCTGATCACCGTCGAGGAATTCTTTGAGCGTATTTTTGTGCTCTTCGATCGTTGTGAGTCGCGCCCATTTTTCAGGCTTCAATTTTAGCCTACGCTGAACATACAATCCCATAAAGTCCAATCGTGGATCACCTCCGGTTGGCGCCTCACCACCGCTCGTTTCCATAGTATCTTCCCTTCAACACTAGTGCTTCCACAAAAATTCCATTCGAAAATTCGATTTTCTTTTATTCTTCCCAACGGAAATTAAATTGCGACATGAAAAAATCTTTTATTCAAATGAAAAAAAAGGAAAAAGAGGAAAAAAAAAGGAAGTTCCTGTTACTTTCGGACTTTTAAAAATAGAATATTGACAATTGCTGTGTTATCTTCACGAAAAATATCGAGCAACTAACAAACGAAACAATCCTACGACAATTTTCATTCGACAATCTGTGTGCATTTCGTGTACACAATTTTCCCCGTTGTTCATTCGTTTGCATTTGTTTATTATAAAAACGACGAAAAAGAGTGAAATTTGTTTGTTGGTTGACTTGTAATTTTGTATGTTAGCTCCGCCAGATTTACGTATGACACGAGCACGACTTTTGAATTCCATTTATTTATTTATTTTTTTTTTTGCCAACGTAACCATGCATTGTTATTCATTTCCATTATGATCATGTCTCTTTCTCTTTCTCTTCGCTTGTTCGTTGCCAGCCAAACTGTCGTCTTTGTTCTATTTTTCTTTTCGAAATTCAACATTTGAATTTATACTGTTGTGCACGAAACCAGTTCGTATACATTTTTTCTCTAAACAACGTTTTCTGCCAAGCTTGGTTCGAATTCACCACATCGTAAAGAATCCCCATGAAGCAATGAACCGAAAAGGAGAGCTAAAAAAATAAAATCGCATGAAACGAAAGAGATAGAAAATAGAGCACAGAGCGAGAGATATTTGACAGCCTGAAAAAGAATGTTTCTAGAGTCATCGGTATATGGATTGATATCGGGGCGTGATATCCCCAACTGCTTTTGAATTTAAAAACAAGTTTTATCCGCTATTCCATAAAGTATAAACAATAATTTAATATTTTAAAATTGAAGAGTTCTTTTTTTTTGCCGTAGTTCAGTTGACAAGGAGATGTATAATTTTATTTCTTGCTTGAAACTTTGTCATAGGTGCAACAGCACAGCACGAGAGCATCCATTTTACGAGCAAAAAATCGTAAAATAAAAAAGACAATTGAATTCGAATTTCCCGAATAGATTTCGTTTTTGTTACATAATCTCGCTGGCAGAAGACTTCAGCTGGTGGTTCTCGAGATACCGCCAAACGAATTACATTTCTACGTGATTTTCCTTTCTTTCTTTTTCTCTAATATGGAATCAGCTCATATGTTTTTGGGAAGTTTCTTGCTTGAGACCTGTTCTCTGCTATGTGTTTGTCACTGAAAGCGAATAAAATACACCCAGAGATATGGTATCGCAGTTTTGAATCAGTATTACCAACAAATCCAACGGTATGAGCGTTTGAAATGTAAACTTTTGCCCGCATTTTGTCACTCTTCAAATCGAAACGAAGCATCTAGTGAGATGGTGTAGCGATGAATAGAACGTGCAATGATGAGAGAGTAGACGATATGGGAATTACGAATAATTCAAAATCACCATCCATCATCATTATGATGACTAGCTAAAAAGCGTTCACGATTACAATCGCACGCAACATATATCGCAAATGTATTCAGCATTCCGGGCCATTTCTACAATTGAAACGACACAGTTGAACAGAAAAAATCGCTTTTCATTCACATTCTTGTGTCCCACAGGAAATTCTATCAAATTGTTGGCGGAAAATGCATATTTGATATCCGTGTAAAGAGAGAAGAAAAAAATTGTTCTGCAAACACATTGGCGTAAACATGTTCCGGTACACGCGCTCATTCCCCTTGTTGTTCCGACCGTGTCATTTTCACGAAAATAATAACTTTAGCAAATTGAACATAATGCGCAACGACATAGATTCTAGGAAATGTGTATGTGTGTGTGTGTGTGTGCGTTGTAAAATCTAAATGAGCGCTAAGGATAACTAGATTTTTTTATTCTCATTCTATGTTCAGCTACACAGAATAATCATTTCGTACGTACACTAGAAAATTACGTCAATAAATATATAAATTTAGATAAATTCTAGCACAAAACAACAAACAACATTCATTGGCGCATGTTTTACAAAGGAAGAATTCTCTATTTGTGTTGACTCCAAATGAAAACACAAAAATTAAAAATTCATTTCACAAATTATTTATTTATAATTTGAATCTTGAAATGGCAATTCTTTATTATCGATCTATACGAATGTGAATCTAAGTGTGACCACCGGAGCATAGTCTGATATTGATTGGCACTCTCTTGTTGATAATGTTAGTCGCACAGTGAACCAGAAAGAATCAAAACTTTGACTGACGTTTGTTTCGGCTTTGAATTATTCATGAGGATGACAAAAGCATATTCCAATATCGAGTCTGATTTTTTTTTTTGCCCAGAAATTTCACCGTAAACTCGTTTTTTTTATATTTGACCAAATTTTATCTGATCAAGCATATCATCTGATTATATCAAGTTTAAAATAAAAGAAAGAAAAAACTTTGCAGACGTAATCGATAAAAGAAAAAAAAATCCGAAGTAGATCTTTTTTTATTGCTACCGTCCCGATATCAACGTAACTCATGAAGTCAGCATGTTTTTCATGTCTAAGAATATACCACACCAACTTTGGTTCAGAGTCTCGCCATTGAAACAAAGGTCAAGCCAACGGAATGAACACTGTTCAAACAGTGAACAGTCTGAACCTATAAATGTCATGTAATTTGGTTAATACAATGTAATTCTCACCACAGCACTTAAATAAATTAGCAACAGAGGCACTGCACATTTTAATTGATGTTGAAGTTCATCAGGTGTCATTTTGGCTCTGTTGCTCTCTCCTCATTTATCATAATCATTACGGCATCATATTTTGTGAGGTTCACACGTCCATAGTTAATTTGATCTAATCCAGAGAACAAATTAATTTTCAATTGCACATTGCGATTGAATTTTTTTTTGATTTATTTAAAAAAAATCATCGACGTAAGAAGTACATGTATTATAGTGTGCATATAGCATGTAGGGATATATAGAATTTATGAATCATATGATTTTCATCCAGGAAATGCATGATGAAAAAAATTGATTTCCATAGTTGAATAAATCTTGTTTTCAATTATTATGATGTGACAAAGACGAAACTTTATTTTTATTTGGTTACCAATGGAAATGTTTTGGATTTCTGCCTATCTCGAAAATACCATTTTAATTATATGCTATAAATAGTGCGATTCAACGAATGCTCGAAGTAATCTTGGTCACGAAATAAACAACGTTGCTTGTGAGTAACAAACAACACAGTGGAACGAAAGCGAAAAAAGAACAAACAATGATAATCAAGTCTCCACACAGAGCAGCCAATTTAAACTGTGCCAACGGACATGTCTCCTGAAGAATGTGGTCAGTTGTACATTTAAATGAATTCGAGCATTGTAGAACGTGATAAATATGTTGCTATTCATTCGTTTGCTCGAAATGTTATCAGCCATTCAAATATAGACATTAGCTTATGCCCTCGAAAGTATGTTGAGCTCAATCACCTTTTGTTTACGTCGATCAAAGGTAGTGTGGAGAGACCGATTCCAAGAAGTAGAGTATCGGATAAAGGTACATATTTTCTTGATGCCAATCATGTTTTCTAGTGTTTAAATTGTGTTGTGCATATCTATGCTGAATATTGATACTACATTTTCGCCCGTCAATAGCTCTTTGTGTGTTTGCCGAGAAAAGATAATAACAGTGCCGACAAGCGATTTTGCAGGAAATTTCCAGAGACGAGCAAAAAAATGATATTATCGAGTTTTAATTTAAAAACTACAGATTATTCAGTTCTGTTTACAAGTTGTGTTATCGTCGATACATCTGTGATTGAAATGTATCCGACAACTCTTATATTCACACGATTCTAATTAAAAATGATGTGCGAGCTGTGTGTAGCTGGTGAGCCTTTCGTGTCTCGGTCAATGTGATTGTTCTTTCCAATGTAAAAATGAATGTTGCCGGTCGCATCGTGTAAATTTACTCATTTGACATGAAAGCCAGGAATAGGGAAAAAATGTGACATGCACAAATTAGCCGGCATGTAATGGCAACCTAGTGGCTCGTCAGGCTAATAGGGAAACCAAGCAAATTGTAACATTGAACGTAACATCGCATTTTAACTCTCTAAACTAGTTGTTCGCAAATTCAAAGTAATTGCTCTTTTGTTCACAGCTCTAAACGCAGTTGTGCAGCAAGACACGGACAATTGACTGAATGATAATTGCAAATCATCGACCGCACGTATGCGTTTCAAGCATATTAATCGATGGTAGAATATTGTGTTGTTATGTTTATCTGTCACAATAATGAGTCTGAAGCTTAGCTGATTTTGATCTCTTCTTCTTATTCGTCTTTTCTCTCTTCTTCGATGTGCTGCTGTTCATTTTCTCTCTCGCGCTTTGCCAATGTTTTGATGTTTTTGCGTCTGTCACTATTATTAAATGAATAAATTAATTCGAATGAAGAACAAATCGTGTTTTTTTCTTTTCTCACATTCTTGAACCGATTCTATATCAATATGCTGCGAAGCTATGTCTGACGTTCATATACACCATACAAACATACACACAAACAAACTCAAATGGCTGATAAATGAATTAGTATCACGGCAGCAACATACGAAGAACTCGTAATTCAATATTTTTTTTCTCTCTTTTTCTCACGCTCCACAATCGCTTTCGTTCAATAGAGTGTTGGTGTTTGTATTAGTCTTTTGCATCTTTTTCCCGCTTACACATAGCCAGATACTTTTTTTTCAAATTCTCCTCTGTGCTGTTCCATTGGAATAACAACAATGCGACAGAAGTTCATTCTACAATATTAATAGAACCAAAGAAACCATTTTTGTTATTGTATAAATACCGGCTTCGCACGAATTTTTTCAACAGTTGTGCGTCGACCACAAGTCGTCAACGATAACAGCTATTCACAGTATCGAAATTGTTTCAAATTCAAGCACCCTCAACTACATACAGTCTTTGAATCAAGTAGTGTGAAGAAGTGGTGCAACGATTCGCAATAAATAAAGCAAAAGTTTTTTCTTATTAGTGCAATAGAAATTTTGGAATTTGTGATTTCGAGTTTTGATCAATCGATTCAACCATGAAGCTTATCTGTACATTTGGTTTATTCATCACATTGGCATCGGCTGCGAAGTTCCGTAAGTCATACGAACCATGTTAAACGCACACTTTATCCCTTCAAAATCTAAATGAAGAGTCTTCATCGTGTCTTTTCTTCTTAAAATATATCATGAACGACGGAAACTTTCAAAAACTTGAGCAAATTCCCTGCAAAAAGTAGTATCCAATTAATGTTGGAAAAATGTGAAAAAACTGCAAAGTGAAAAAATATTTCAATGTAGAAAATCAATTAAATCTTAGCAAATTTTAGAAGAAAGATTATCGAACGATAGTTTCGGCGCATTAAAATCATTTTCAATTACGCAATGTTTGGCTATCCTTCCTTAATTTTTCAATGAAATCAAGCAACTTTTACATAGAAACCTTAAAAAGGAAGGAATAACAATATAATTTAAATTCATTTTCTTGTCAAAAAAATTCGATTTGAAGAAATTGTTGAAAAGTATCAGTAGAAGAAATTATGAAAAAGTTTTATGCTTCTCTCACAAAAACTTAAATTCGTTTAAAAACTGAAACGCATTTAAGAATTTCGCCGTGAATTTCCGATACTCTTGACGAAATTTGTTGTGAAAGCACGACCGCAAATGAAACCAGTTAGCATTTAGCTAAAAGCAAATCGGTGTTGCATTTAATTTTCATTAACAGCTAAAATGAATTCGGACGGAATGGGCCGAAACATGCTAACTGATCTTATCAGTTTATCGCTTCTAATTGTTGTTTCTCCCATATTTTCTGTTCATTTCGGGTTCTCTATCGTTAATGATTCCTTTTGAAAATATAATTTTCAAGCTGACACATTTGGCGTTGGTAAGACGTACAAATTTACCTCTTGAAATCTCATGCGAATTAACATATGCATTTAAATTTTTTGTTTTATTTTTCGAGCTGATTTCGTGCATTACACACTGCGGTCAACAGTTGACTGGAAATAGATATTTTTTTAGTAAATTGTTTCTTTGTGATTTTATTTTTATCTTATTTTGTGTTCTTTTTCTTGCTACAGCCGCTGATATTCCGCAATGCAAAGCTGCTGATATACAATGTCTACCACGAGTTATCACGGACATCGTCCATAATCATCCGAATGGGCACCAAGGCTTGTCCATTCCACCCTTAGAACCATTGCGAATCAATCGCATCGACATTTCACAGGGCTCAAACAGTCCAATCGCCATTAAATTGAATTTTAGAGATTTGGATCTCTCTGGTATCAGTCAATCAGTAATAAACCGGGTCGTGTAAGTATTTGTATTCTGACAAAAATATTTCCATGTGTATTTGATCGATTTGACCGCTCATATGTCCAAAAATCGTTTTGATTGAATAGTTTTTAAACTAGTTAGTCAATTTACTGAAACATTTTACAGTCTAAATGATAAATGCGGAAAACTAATTCGAAACATATCCACTCACACGACGTACCTGTAGAAATGATGTGAAAAAACCATTCATACAAATAGAAATGTGTTTGGTCAAAATACATGCTAACAATAATGAATCACAATTGGACATAACTTTACTCATTTAGTTTATTTTTGTATTTCAGTGGTTTTGGTGCCGATCCCAATAGCAGCAAATATGAGGTAATAAATAAAAATGATTCACAGTGTTTAATTGATTCTAAATAATGAAAAATGTTTGTTCTTTGTAGGTTTATGCAGTTGTGCCAAAGATCACAATCACCGGCAAGTACAAAATAGATGGTCGGGTACTTGTCTTGCCAATTCAAGGAGAGGGTAATGCTCACCTGGTCTTCGATAATACCAATTTAGTTGTCAAGTATAAGCCAAAAGTGGTGGAGAAAAATGGCAAACAATACATTCAAACCGAGAAGTTCCAACTGGATTTCGATCCATCACGACTAAACATCAATTTGGAGAATCTCTTCAATGGCGATAAAGCGCTAGGTGAGAATTTTTTTTTTCTGTTTTCTCTGATTAAACTGGTTTCATTTGAGGTAACCAATATATATATATATTCCTAAAATAGGTGACAACATGAATCAATTCCTCAATCAGAATTGGAAAGAGATCTTTAACGAGTTGAAACCGGCCATCACATTTGCCGTTGAGGAAATATTGAAAGGAATCATCAATAGAATTTTCTTGAAAATTCCATACGACGAAATCTTCTTGAAAGATTAAATTAATTAAGATATAGCCGTAAAAACTTTGTTTTGTATCATTTAGATCTGTTTAAACATGTGATAAATTCTCATATTTTTTGATGTAATTTATGATGTAACAAGTGCGAATTTTGTTTGCTCTCTCTCTCTCTCTCTCTCTCTCTCTCTCTCTCTCTCTCTCTCTCTTTTTAACTTCATTCATACAGAAATCTCTAATTTAATTAAGTAACTCTTCATAACGAATGAATGTGCAAAATTCGCAAAAAAAAACTTCAATCGTTTTTGTCTTGGCTTTTGTACTTCGATAGTCTAACTTCAGGCGAATAACAAATGTTTTTATTTTTCTGTCTCTCTCATTTCTTTTTTTTCAAACGTTGTAAACAGATTTAGAAATAGGTAAGGTTTATATATGGGACAATGTTTGTATCAAATGCGGGTGCCATACACTCAAAAATAAAACAGAGCTTCCAAAAAAGTTGTTGTAATGAATTTCATTAAAATATCATTTGTAGTACAGAATTTATATTCGCTGTGGACATGGCGGAAAGGTATGATTTGTTAGAATTACATGGAGAATACATAAGCTATTAAGGAACGCAAAACGATTTCATTGCAATTAGAACTTGTTTCATTGCGACCAAAAATTGAATTAGTGTCATTCAAATGGTTTCACAGAATTGAGCCAAACCTTGATTAAAAGCTAATCAATAGCATTGGACCCAACAGTATTCAAGTGTATTTGTGTCACTGCATCCAACCACTTTGGTGTGTTTGTTTGGATAAAGATTAATGAAAGCTATATGGCGCTCAAGTGACATATGATCCTTGTTCAGTCGCATCACACAATTTGTTTATAAATTTCGAGATGTATCCAGTCATTGGTATATGTATATCGTTGGTTCAAACTGAAATGTGTACGATATTCTTTTTTATTGCCGTATCAGGACCAGTTGAACTTTGAAAAGAGCAATCGGACATATTTACATTTGGACACATAGAGAAGGATAGAGAAAGAGAGATAAAGTCAACAACAAATCGACCACATCATAAACTTGGTCAAAGTTTCATATTAGAACTTTGTCTCCACACAAATGTGCAGTCTGTTGTAGGTTAACTACTAAAATACGAAAGTTTTTCTTAGAATGTACTAGTTTCATATGAGACATACATTTGGAAAACTTTTGATCGATGAGCGGATGGCTATGTAAAAATTGAATTGAATCTGAATTTTGTGACTTCCATAGCTTACAATACTAAATGCAATAGCCAAATTGATGGAACATTAAATACATTATACAAAAATCGATATTTTCAATTGACTTTTTTTCGGTAGAACGTGCTCTCAATGCGTTCATTTTGCTGGTGTCATTCATAATTGAAATACTCCGAACGCAGTAATCAAATATTCACTCAAATTCACAAAAGCAAATGTATTTTTTAAGGCAATACTGACACATTACTGCAGTACCATGACACCAGACTGGTTAAATGAACGATTGATTGGTATTGGATTGACACTCGCGATGTGTATGAGTGTGTGTTTCTCTCGAAGAAAATACTTTATGTTATGTATTTATCTGCCAAAAGATGAGCAGAGGAAGTTATGCTTACCGTTCGGAATTCGGTATATGTAACTAAGCAAATAAAGCGTAAAACGACTTACACGTGCCAAACTTACAGACAACGACAAATGCAGTCAAACGAGAAGATTATTTGATTCATCAATGTTTTTTTTTTTCATAAGTGGAACTCAAAACAACTTATTATTTCTTTTTCTGCAGTGTTTTTCTACTCTTCACTATATACAAAATACATTGAACACACATGCGACCGCAAAATACTCAGAATCATTCTATTGAAACAAAATTTCGTTTGTTATTTGTTCTTCTCTGTCGTTGCAAAAAAGGATTTGATTCATTTCAATAATTTTTCCTCTCTTTCTCCAAATTTCGGCATATCTTTGCAATAGATATACCCAGTCAAGCAGCTTCACATAGCCACCTGATTTTGTGCACGTCCAATTAAGAAACAGAAGGAAAAAACAAGTAAATCTTGTCTAATTTATTCGGCGGCTGTTTGGCATATCAACGCATGCATAACGAATCTAAATATTGAGCTCAAACCGCGATAATGATTTATAATAGTTCAACACGATGTATAGAAGAAGACTGGTTTTTCATTTGTGATGGTCAGGCCCAAAACAAAATATTCCATTTCTACATTAACTTTTCAGTTTTCAGCGTACACACTGAATGATCTGTGCTAACTGCTCTGACGACAATTAACCACTTTGCATATGCATATCATTAGCTGTTTGTTATTTGTAGACGACAAATTCATTAAAATACATCAGCATTTTCTTTTCATTTGTCACACCGATTGACTACCATATTTCGTTGATTTTATATTAATTAATAATAATAAATAATAATTGTGGAGAGTTTTCGATAGAGTTTCTATCTCCTCCGGTTGAAAAACAAACGAAGAAAAGCTATAAAAACTATAGGTCGAAACATATGTTGATAAAAGCCTAATACATAAGCCTCAAAAACTAGGGGTTTAGTGCCGAACAAAAACCGCAAAAATGATATCAACACTAAGACATTTAAAACGTATCTAATAAGAGCACGCGTATGTTTTGTCGTTTCGCGCAGTATGTCTGTATATCTGTATATATATAGTCACGCGTCTGATGACAACATGTATCGAGTTTGTTTTGGACCCCTGGACGGTTAATCTTTGACGCGTTTTTTATTTGCACAAAAAGAACAAGATTCTTTAATGTTGGGCAATTATAAGGAAAAAAAAGTTTTACATTCGCTATATATAAAATTCGGCGGTCCGCAGTTGCGACTAGTCTGGAATTTAACGAATAGACTAGCGGAACGCCAACGTCTGTAGTCAAATTAAAGAGCCATCCGATTTGTAGTGTTCGTTTGAATTATTTTTTTCACAGAAAAAGTGTTATTGTGATTTGCTGTGTAATTTTTGAATTTTTCGTTCAAAATAAAAGAAAATGTTGAAGTTAATTTTTGTACTTGCGCTCAGCATTTCATGCTGCTGGTGCTCAAAATTTCGTAAGCATATTATTTTATATACAGAATATTTTTTCCACGTGCCACATAGCCATCTAAAACAAAATAAACTAAAACCTGTTTATCATTATGTCAAAATCCAGTATCAATTCATTTACGATACAATTAATATTTTAGTGACGATTGGTTATATTAAATCCAGAATATATGTGCTTGTAGAAATATTAAGAACTATTTGGAAAAAATGGCTCATGCTCATCTAAATTGAGCCAAAATTTTGGATTTAGATTCCCTTGCTAACCAATTTCGGATAATAAGTCAATTTGAATGATAATGGATTAGTTTTATGATAAGCAATGGATCATATTTAGGAGTGCTAGGAAGAATTTCATCATATATCTTCAATTATTATCGATGGAGTTAATTTAATCCCATAGCTATATGACATCATTGGAAACAGTGCTGCATGTTGACCAACATCACTTTGACAGTTATTGATTTTTTTCAGTTCAAACCCGCAAGAAGTTTGAAAAATAAATAAATTTATATACATTTTATATAAAATATCATTTTAGACGTTGCTATTCAATTATCTGATTGCAGTGGTTCACTCCGAAATCGATGGACCTATGGTAGATTTAATATTTTGAGTTAGCATCAGGCAACAAGAATTTTATGGTATCAAATGATATATGGAGTGGTATACCACTCTCTTAATTTACAACCCGTAATTTAAAAATCCACTTCTTTGAAGGAATGGGTTAATGTTATCAATAATAATAATATCGTTGACACTTTCAATATGAATGAATGAAACAATATCAGTCCGAAGAACATCTTTCTGTTTCACATTTCCTCAATATAAAAGAATTCTCAAATATAGTCAGTTCTATAAAGCAAATTCTGACGCGAATTAGAAAAAAAATAATAGTCAAAGCGTGTCTCGTACCCGCTACTGTCACGTCAAACTATTTATAGGAATACGTACGTTCTTGCTAGAAACAAGAATGTCACAGAATTGTAAATTTCTAGGCACTTGATTAGAATTCTTTGCGGATAAAACAATTAAAAATTCGATAAGATAAATTCTTAGGAAATGCACTTTTAATCTAGATGATATTCGCGATTAAAGCATACGTTGAATTAATCTTTATCACAATCACTTTCAAATCAAAATGCCATTAAGTACAAGATCCATTGACGTCATATATGTTTATGTAAAAAAAAATTATCTGATCAATTACGGCTCAGACGAAGAACCATAAAGAAAGATGATAAAAGTCGTAATTGCTGCATAGAATTTATCATACGTAATGGTCAGCTTTTGAAACACGCCCTATTCAAAGTGGTTGAAAGATGAGAGTGAGACGGTTGACAATACCATTAATATTGAATGAACTTCGGACCATATTTGAATGGAAATGTATGAATTTCAAACAGCTGGCTATGTTTATCTCTTTAACAATCCGGAAAGTCCCGAATTCTAAACATACGAACCGGTTATCTAAATGTATATTTGGAAGCGTCGAAACGTTGATATATGAACAAGTGATGATGATGATTGGACAATTAAAATCTTTAAAATTGGTTCTAACTTTTTTTAAGCAGAATATATTTGATGATCTGTAATTAATGAGGGTAAAAATGTCATATTCAAATTAGCACACTTCTTTTCACCGCTTATTTATTATTAAAATTTATTTAATTTTTTGTTGTGCAAATTTCAGAATCGTCAAAGATTCCACAGTGTGCTATAGGCGATACCAATTGCATAAAAGAGACAACTAATCTTGTTTTGTCACAGTTTTATGGAGGTAAGTGCAACAACAATACTTAGTTCAAATCTATTTTTATGTATTTATTTTCGTTCAGGTGAACCGAAGGTTGCACTAGCTAAGATGGATCCTTTGCAAATCCAACGCATGCAAATCAAACAGGGGGGCAACAGTCCAGTGAATATTGATTTGTCATTCAACAATGTTGAACTGCATGGTTTGAAAGATTTCCATTGTACTTATGTCAAGTGAGTTACACACACAGAGAGATACACGATGAAATTATCTCGAAATTGAACCAATTTGATCACTATTTTTACAGAGGTTTTGGACCAGATCCAAACGGTCAATATGAAATGAGAGCGAAAGGCCCATTGTTCATCTTGAAAGGACCTTACACAATCAACGGAAGAATTCTGGTGTTGCCCATTCAAGGCAATGGAATAAGTAACTTTACTTTGGAAAACCCCGAACTGCACATTAAATGGACCGGAAAATCAAAGGTCAAGAATGGAAAAACTCACTTATACACCGATGATCTTCGCATGACCTTCAAAATTACAAGAATGCAAGCTTACTTCGGCAATCTTTTCAATGGAAATCCAGAATTAGGTGAGCATAACTCGAACTTTTCGTCATAGTAATTTTGAATTTAAAAACCATGAAAATGTTTTATAATCTCCCTATTCCCATTCTGACAGGTGAGTCAACGAACCGCTTCATGAACGAGAATTGGCAGGACATTTTTAATGAAATTAAAGGATCTATTTTTGACGCATTCTCACTGATCATGCAAACTATGATGAATAATATGTGGGCGCATCATGACTACAAAGAAATGTTTAAACAATAGATGCAAATAAGGAATGTTGCTTGAATTTTCTACATTGAATGCTCGTATGGATTAAATGTTCTCGTTATTTTTAAAAAATGAAACACTAAGTCGTATATAGTAAGGACTTTTCAAAAGAAAAATGTTATCAAGAATATCAAATGTGGACGAAAATAGCTGTTCTTGCTTCTTTCAATTTGTAAATGATGAATTAAATAAATTTGAGTCTGAAACGAATTGTATTTGTTTTTATATCGAAATCTTTAGCTAAAAAAACATTCGCCATTGAAATAAACACTTCATTGGTACCGATGCTATTGTTTCGTCAATTGTTTTAAACGTCATAAGCCTGTACAGTGTACAGTATATTGCATGCGCGACGTGAATTATAATGATGGCCAGTTGTCTTTTCTGAACAAATCAAATAACAATGCGAGTAAGTAACTCCGCTCTCTGAATAATTTACTTTATCTTTTACTTTGCTGTGATACAGATGTTTTCGAGTAAACATGCAATTCTTTAACTGAATTTTTAGTTGATTTCCTTATTTTGATTTCACAGACGTATTATATTTAAATGAATGCAATTTTAATGCAATTCTTTCACCTGAGATGTATAATAAAGATGATGAAACACCAGGAGGTAGACACCAGAACACATGAATCTTATTTAATTTTTTCTCCACCGAAATGATGGATTGTGAAGACTATGTGCGATCAAACTACATTGTTATCTCAACTGAATAGACCATTCTGGAATCGTTACAGATCTTTGCCAAATTTCCATGCATCTTTTTTAAATTCTCAGATCTTTAAGCCTATGTCTGGCTATGGCCCTTGCAATTATAACATCAGTTCAAAAAAGCAATTTTTCCACTTCAACCAATACTTTTATTTACTTTTGTAAAATTTTGACGGTTGTTGAGTGGAAAAATATGCGAAATAATAAATGAATCATTAACGCAGGGCATGAGTTGAACACTATACTTACATCCCGATCATTTTGTTCATTCAACTGATTGACATTTTATTTTTTTTCGATTATATTCTGACACTGTTTTAAAATAGGAGAACATGATTTAATATAAGTGAACTGGAAAGAGAGCTATAGCTCAGGTATGCGTAAAACAATGCAGCACCTAGATAAAATTCATATTGTATGCAAAATAATCGTTTCTTGCAATTTTCTTTAATTTACATTTATAAACGAGTTTAAGTCAAGAAATGCAATCAGTACTTTGTGCGATCTGTAGACGCTAGCATTGTCACTGGAGAGAAAAAAACGATCGCGTAAAACAAGTGTAAGGTGCAATTTTTTCTTCATTCGTTAGAAAATAATTGAATTTGTCTAGTACATCGATATGAGGTTTTAATTGTTCGTTTTACTAAATAAAAATTTAATTCAATTCACCAATTTATTTAGAGACGAACAAATCTAGGGAAACCCAGAATTAAAGAATTTTTTCTTTGGTGAATCTCCAAAGAAATCGAAACTAGTTTAAACTGACATTGTGAAGGTCACCATGAAGGCTATATTGGCTGTGTGCGCTTTCGTTTTGTGCGGTAGCTCTCTTGCCGTAAAATTTCGTGAGTGCATCAGTGAATCTATTTAAAAAAAAAAAATCAAAATTATTTTTTCTATGCAGTTGATAAAATTCAAATTTGATAAAAATAAATTGTTCTATGCAGCGTCTGATATTCCAAAGTGTAAGAAGGGTGATTCGGAATGCATTGTTAAATCAGCAAATCTTGTGATGGACATATATGCCAAAGGTTAGCCATGAAAATGTTTTAATTAAAACCAAACATATCTAAAATAATATCAACGTTTCTACGTTACTAAGGTGGTGATCGTAATATAAATCTGCTCCCATTGGACCCATTAGGTGATATATATTCTCTTGTGATACACATATGTTTAAGATTATCTGAGATGACTAATGCTTCTTTTTAAATTAGATATTCCTCGGATTCACATCGAACAGGGCGAAGAGAGCCCTGTAAATGTGGTGCTGATATTCACAAATAACACAATTGTTGGAATGCGTGACTTTACATTCTATAAAATCGAGTAAATTATTTTCCAATTCGATCTAATTTCGCTAACACAATTAGTTGATTATGTGGTTTTGAATTGTGCACTTTCATTCAAATAGAGGATTTAATGATAAAGTCGATGGAAAGTATGAGATTCGCTTGAAAGGGCCGCGCCTGGAACTGGTTGGTCCGTATTCCGTGAAAGGTCGCATTTTGATCTTACCCATACAAGGAGTTGGAAAAAGCAACATCACCGTATTGAACCCCGATTTTTTGGTACGCTTCAACGGAAAATCAGTCACTCGAAATGGAAAAACTTATTTAAAAGCGGAAAATACCAAACTTTCATTTACACTCACGAAAATGCAATTGTATTTGGGCAATTTGTAAGTTCAGGTTCATTAATTGGAAATTTAATTATATAGTTAATTTTATCACATTAAATGATATGTTTTTTTTGTTTAGATACAATGGAGACAAAGCACTTGGAGACAACACCAACTTATTTTTAAATGAAAACTGGGCTGAAGTTTGGCCAGAGATTAGGAAATCTGTATTTTCAGCATTCTCACAAATCATAGGGAATATATTGAACAATGTATTCACAAAGGTCCCCTACGATGAATTATTCCAAAAGGAAAACTAAAGCAACGCACACCGCATGAAAGTGATAAGTTGTGCAATTTCTTTCCAAGTAATAATTAATGAAATTTAAAAACTTGAAATGAAAAAAACATCAAGTTTGTATTTAAGGTGAATTTCACATGTTTCACAAAAAAGCACAAACACACACACTAAAACCTGTCAACCATAAGTTGGCGCTTACTCGGATTTAATAGGTTTTCTTTTGAACGTAAACACAACGATATCAGAACATTTTAACAATAACAATTTGTGTTTTGTCGTTATCATTAATAAAGAAGCGCTTGAAAACGAATAAACAACCTTTGTACGATACAAAGTTTTCCATGTTTGAAATATATGAAACAAAAATTACAGCATAAGTGACATGAGTCATAAAATCACGTGGAATAGTTTGCCATCAACTTGAAAGAATCGAGGTAAGTTTTCGGCTTAGCATATGCATAAAAAACACTTCAATGAGGCTGACCTAAACTGTAAAAGTCAAAGGCATTAGCTTGTGCTAAAATTCTCATTTCACTGTTAGTGCTTAGAGTGCATTTGCTTGGAATGCTACTTGGTAGAGAAAAAAATGTTCAAAAGTGCCTTGTGCATCGAAATAAAACTTCATGTGTCTAATATATATATACCGAACTCAATGGCAATATGATAATGATTTGAATGTTTTTTTTTTCTTCGCTTTGGAACTTCAACACACAATCTCACATCAATTTCAATGGCAAATGGCTAATGTAGCCCACTAAAAAACGTAAAAACTTACTATTATAATTGCGCAACTGATTAAAATCTAACGAGAAAAAAAACACACAAAATAAAGAGAGAAAATGAAAACCGAAGCACTAGCAAGTACTGTATACAACGGCATGCCAACACTCTCAAATCGATTCCGGTTGGTACTCGAGGTGATGTGTCACATCATCGCACGGGCCCGAAAACACACAACTATTATAAAATAGTAAAAACGCTAAAAAAATTTGAGGCTTTCATTGCTGCAACAGCGGCGCGACTTGTTTTTTTTTATTTGTTTATTTGTGTTCAACAGTTACAATAGCAACGACAACGCGCGGTCGGTAACCGGTTTATTTTTGTCATGCCTAGTTTAGTTATTCAACACCAATGAAATATATGTGACACGCGGCATTTCAATGTCTTGATATGTAAAAAATGTACTCATTTCTCCACACATGATTTACGGGGCGCACAAAATCAATAAATAAAATCGAACACATACGTACTACGACAGAGGATGCGTAGAAGAAAGAAAAAAACACATACACGTGTATAACAATAGTACACCTTCCGTTTTGCTTAAATTCACTTTCCTGTCATTTTCAAACTAGCCATTACAAGTAATAAACGTGTTGAGTTTTCGACGCTCTTATTGCTTTGCGCCACTTACTCTCAACCATTCAAGCGGATCGGATGCGTGACCCCAACTTCGTTGGCAGCGAGAAAGAAATGCCGGTAAATGTGTATTTTTTTTGTTCCTCTGTTGGTATGCAGTGCATAAACACTACCGATGGGATGTTGAGTGCTGTCTTAAGTGCGGAAACACGATTTTTTTGGTGCTTGCATAAAAGAATCAACTTCGTTTTCTTTACACAATCAAGCGGAAAGTGTTTGTTCCTGATTAAAACTACTTGAACTCTCTTACCTTTGCTTTTTTACTTCTTCGGCAATCAGACTCGTTCTTCAGCGTTGTGTTTTTTTTTTGTCGTTGTCGATTGCTAACTTCTTTTCATTATACAGGTATTTTGACGTCACAACAGTCTTTGAATGCGATTTATGCAAATATCGACGATAAAGAACTCAAATTCCCATTCAATCGAGCTCAAACGGTCGATGGAGTATTTTTAGAATAACTTCCTTTTCTATCATGAGTTATGATCATGATTCTTTCGCTCTTCGCAAACGATTGAACTGTTTACAAATCAATTGGTTGTGTATTTTACCATCGAATGTGGTTTTACTGTAGATGCGTCGATACGTTATGTCTAGTAGGCATTGTCTACATGCGATAACTGCGGCGTAATGCCTACAATTGGCACATGCTTGGATAAGTTGCAAAAAAAATGACCAGCTCATGATTAATTATAGCTGATTTTGGAATATCACTTTCAAAGCATTTTAATAATTTGGTTTCGTGCTTCTTCTGCATTCATTTCCCATTCGCATTCGCATCCGATTCGTGTTCGTACTGGTGCTGATATTCTCAAGACAACAGCCGAACCACTTGTCATCAAACGTGATTCATACCAACATAGTAGTATAGTATACAGACAAGTATACATGTACACACAACCATTTATGTGGTCTCGTGCTGTACGTACAATGGACAAGATTCACTTTGGTTTGACCGTTACATTGACTAAATTCATAAGTTCAAGTTTATTTACACACACATTACGTAGCGCAAAAACGAAACGATCAACGAAACGCTTTATGTCGCTTCCACTTCGGCTTGACCATTTTAGAAGGGAGTGGAGGTATTATTATTATTTGGTTACAGCGAATATGTAGAACTGTATGTGTTTTTGTTTAAACTGAAGTCTGACGTATGCGATCAATCTCAGTGAATCTATCAGGTGTAAACCTCCAGGTTAGTGCTGTAGAATTCTTTTTTTGTCGTATTTGATACGGTTGTGCAGATGTATTTGTTCAATTTTTATTACACAAGCAATAATATCGGCTGTTGTTGGCTGTGTTCTGCCGATCTCAACTCAAATCCTTGAAAATGATATTTAAGTCAAAAACTATGGTTCTACAGCCACTAGTTTGATTTTGTCGAGCTTATTGAATGGGTCTCGATCTCTGATAAAGACGATTTTCATCAGAATTTTTCTATATTCAACCTAAATTATAAATTTTCTCAATTTGTGAACAACACTTGACAATTGGCTGTTCGTGTGGCATGAAATAATAAACTGTTTGTGCAATTAAGTTGATTTTCTACGAAAGATCAGCAATTGAGCAATTGCGAAAAAAAAATTTTTAGTTCAAATAATTACTTTTGTCAAAAATGTTTATTAAAATTATTTGTTGTTTGGTGCTTGTTAGCTGTTTAGTCAGCATAAACGCGTTCAAATTTCGTAAGTATTCATTGAAAGCCTTATATTCCATTAGGGAAATGAAAATGACAAAGAAAATACATTAAAGTTAAAAAGCACAATTTTACCGAGAATATCTTCGTTCAGATGCTCTTTTTACTGATTTTTCTGCCCTTTGAGAAATCATTTTGATTGAAAGTTTATCAGACGAAAGACATCCAACAAATAAAGTTGCAATTTCATTCCACTTTCCAAAAAAAATCTATTTCTGTGCATCAAATCAATCAATAACAGTTTCCATTCAAATTTGATGCACGCATCACAAAAGGAAACAAAGATTGATTGAATTTTTGAGGAAATAATTCTTTTACTGAAAAATTTCTTCAGTCTTCATCAATCGAATGATTGAAAAATAAAAGAAGCATGAGAAAAAGATGCTTTTGCAACACATTCGAACAATGGTTCTCAATAGTACACCAACGAAGAGGATTCAAGTTCAATTTGAACAGCCAACAAGTTTCCTTTTCCATTGCAATTCAAACTGTTCTTAAGCACACTCGAATTGATTCTATCAATTGAATGGTTCTGTTTAGGGTTTTTCTTTTTCAAATGGTAGTAAAATTTCGGAAGTGGTTTTTTTTCGGGAGCAAATAACACCGAAATACTTTAGATCGGTGCTTCAATGGAGTATTCAATAGCTGTTCATTCGTCCATTGAAAAGAACTCAAGAACACGAGCAAAAAGTGTTCTGTTATTCGTACATTGAAATGCATTCACGTAAATGCATCATTTGCCACAAAAAGAATGGTTTCATAGACTTCCTGAATTCAAATTGGACGTGTTGTTAGAGTAAAACCAATTATACCAATCGATCGATATTGCCGAAGGCAACCATTTTCAAAAGAAATAACAATGAAAATTCAAAAGTCACTCATCAAGTAACAAAAGAACGAGAGAAGACAAATAACATTTCAATACGGAGACAATCGATAGAATTATTGCAAAAAAAAAATTACCTTTGTCAATTATCGTTTGTGACTCACATCAATGATAATTTGCCACTAATTATCATTGTCCAGATGCCCATAAATAATAATATGGTTGTGGTTCTTTTCCACTCGAATTTTGTACTTCTAAATCGAATTGTTGACATTTAAATGTTGATGTTATGGGAAGAACGCCGTTAAACAATTGTCAACGTTACGATAGAAATTTGAATAGCTCAATGGGATTTGTCGACGACTCATACGAACTCAACAAATAATCAAATCCTCAAACAGCAATTAACGCGATATTAATTGCGTTCGCGATAAAACATTCGTTTGAAAATCGATTTGCAAATCTAGTTGAACAAGTTAAGACTGATATTTCTGAGAAAGAGGCAATTTAAATTTGCTTTGCATTGTATGTGCGACTGGGCATGAATTGTTATTAGTTAGGTTAAAGTACATTGTAGGCCGAAGAAGAAAAGAGAACAAAGCGAGAAAAAAAGAGAAACACCTAAAACAAACCGGTTAGGCATTTAGAATATATTATTTTCAACCAGTAGAATTTTGTGTTGGCTTGCTTCATTATGAATTAGTAATTTTTTCCCGTTGTATGATGGAAAAAAAGCGGCAATGAAAACAACAAACGTAAAAAGAGTGACATTTTAAAGAATTGATGGATTCAAAGGTTTGCTTCTTTTTCGATTTCTTTTTTTCCATATTTGAGTTTCCGTTTATTTATATTCCGGTTTGATTTTGAATTATATTTTTAGCACTTGATATCGAGCGATGCTCTGCTGGTGATACCGACTGTATTGTTCGTGTATCCAACACTTTCATAGAAGCTGCAGGCAAAAGTAAGAGTTCATTTCGAATGTTTTTTTTTTTTTTCATTCTTTTTGGACATTCTTATTTCATTTATTTCGTCAATTTTCTATAGGCGGACACTCGGGTATTGCGCTAATTCCAATCGATCCGCTTCACATTCCAAGCATTACAATCAAACAAGGTGCCGACTCTCCGGTTAATATTGAATTGCAATTCAAAGAAGTTGATTTGATTGGATTGTCGGACTGTCGTTTCTCAAGAATTACGTAAGTTTACTTACTAATCATTTGTTGAAGCTGCACCGTAATTTAATATGATGATGTTTAAATTCGTGTATTTTTAGCGGTTTTCAAAAAGATCCAAACGGAAAGTATTCACTTGCTTGCAAGGGACCGGCTTTGTATCTGGTTGGTCCATACAAAATTTCCGGTCGTGTGCTCGTTTTGCCAATTCAAGGGGTGGGCAAGAGTAACATCACTTTAGTTGAGCCCGAAATAACAATGACATTTGACGGTAAAGGCATCAAACGTGGTAACAACGAACATTTGGCAATCGAGAATGCAAAACTGACATTCAAAGTGAACAGGTGAGTCAACCGTTTCACAGAAAAAAACATTTTAGAAGAATTTAACTGCTTGGTTCTGAGAATTGTTTATGTTGTTTTCTTTTTCTGGTTTTTTTTCATTGATTATTGATTGGTTGTTATTTGTTGTTGTTTACCCATACAGACTTATTTTCGACTTCCAAAATCTATATAACGGTGACAAAGGTAAATAAAAATATATAACCTAAATTGAAATTTAAAGCATTCATTATTTTCCTATTTGTCTTCTATTAATTTCTTTTCCTGTATAGTGCTTGGAGAGTCAACAAATCGCTTCCTGAACGAAAACTGGTCAGATATATTCAAGGAAATCAAAGCAAACATCTTTGATGCGTTTACACTGATTGCTGAGAATACATTGCGCAATGTCTTTACCAAAGTTCCATATTCTGATCTCTTTGCTAATTAACCTTGGTTGTCCAAATGTTGCAAAGTGCAGATGATAGAATCCAAATTATTATTTTCTAAGACGACAACAATGAAATAGAAATAGTAAGAAATTCGGAGAAAAGAAACAGTCAAAATTTTGGCATGGAATTTTCTATAATTTGTATATATATGTAGTATGTATAATTTTAAACGGAAAATTATTTTTGATTCATCTTTGTGAATCGATGCAAATGGTAAACTACGGACTTTTTCTCTTCAATTAGATAAATGCGATTGGCTTATGAATAAAAACGGTTGTATAAAAAAAGAAATAAATTGTGACTCATTTGTTTTTGCTCCATTGAATTTCGTTGGCATCGCTGTCGGATGCCTTCGGCAAGTTATCAGCGTCACGAACAAAAAAACTTTTTAATAAGTTATGAACTTGTTTCGAACTCTATTTCCAAAAGCGCCAATTCATTGTCAAACCAAACTGTAGACTTATACCGTACAAAAACTTAGTTTGCAGTGGTTTAACGGGAAAAATATAAACTGGATCTAAACGATCATATTAACATTGAATGAATGCCCAAATCATGTAGTGTTGTCATATGGTCACATATTTTCATATGCATATTTTGTTCGTAATCATAAAAAGAAAAATGCCAAATTATCTCAGAAAAAGAGGTGATTAACTTGTTTCTCCAATTTTGATAATGAAAACTAACAGAATTGGCTCACGTTGAAATGTGACATCTAAACTAGTTTTCATTGTGATCTTTATTCTAATAATATTACTATATGAATATATGAATTAAGAATGAACGTCGTATGGAACAAGTTAGGCGTTTAGTTTGGCCAAACAATGTCTTCAATCCACTGGAGATATGTATAGACGCGAGTATAAACTCCTGGTGTACCCTGAGTTCCGCACACTTTTCCAAACGACGTGACCCCAACGAGTGTGTACATGCACGATACACGTGCATGATACGTTTGAATCGGCCCACCAGAATCACCCTATAAATAAACACATTTTATTAGTTTCCACGGACAAAAAATGAAATTATAAAAGCTTCAGTTCATTTTGGGAATTGTTCGCGCACTTGGCACGTATCCTTTCTGCTATCGTGTGATCCGGCGCATAATTGGGTTTCGACATCAATTCCTCGGCTAAGCTGTCGGCCAATTTCATTGGAATACGTTTGATTGCATTCTCTCTGCGTAAAAAGTTCCAGCACGACCTTTTGTAATTGCTCGCTGGGCGTTGAACTGTAATTTACACGTCCCCAGCCCGATGCGATCACATGGTGCGAATCAATCGATTTTGTTTGCGGCAAACAAGCCGGCCGAATGTAATTACTAAACTGGACGGGACCATTGATTCTCAAAAGTGCGATGTCATTGTATTTTGATGGCAGCTTGAAATCCGGATGCTTGATGCGTTCAATGATTATGAATTGGCGTGGTTGCGCATCATCATTGTCGGAACCATAATTCAAATCACCCAACAAAACATGCGAAGCGGGGCCACTACACGAAATAAAACCATTTCAATTTTAGTGCTTCTGAAATTGATTTTTAATTCGATAGCAAGAAACATATACAAGTAATGCAATACTCACATGCCCGGAGCATACATACAATGGGCGGCACTCAGGACAAAAAAATCACTGATTAAGCTTCCACCGCATTTCCATGAAATGCTCTTGTCAACACGACCCTCAAAACCAATCAATGCCTGAAAAAAGGAATCCCATTGATGTTCGTTCAATGGATTTGTTTTATTTAATCGAATATTTTCCGTTTACCATATGCGGGAATTCTTTGGCCAACGCATTTTCACCTCCAACAATTAGCGGCACGGTAGCAATCGAACAACGAAACACTTTCTGCTCGATTGGCGGCCCGCTTAGTCCGACTGAACTAAACACACGCTCGTTCACCGCATCTTGATACTCAATACATTCTATTTCCAATACATGAATACAGACGGAATAATAACGAATCACGTCATTTATATGTAGTAAATAATTGGGAGTTTTGTTTACTTTTTTCGCTGGCGCGATTCGGCATTATCGATGAAGTGATTGGCTTTTTTGTCGGTGGCAAAGGACAGCAAATAATTTCTTTGCGATCCTGGAAACCACACTTGGTTGGAGTCAATCCATGGTCGAGTAGTTCGTTCAAAACAACTGGACAATCTTCATAATAACGACAAATTCCATTGGTACCCGAACGTGCTACCTGACACCGGTCATTTAGACTAAGTTGTGCATTGATCAAAACAAACACTACACATTTCGCAAGCAATATCGTGGCACAATTTCTCATCTCCAACACATTCAGTTCTTATGCGAAATGTGAAAGTTGAACGCACCGGTTTTCACTGAATCTCAAGAAATTAAAACGCAAAAGAAGATGAATCAAACCGTTTACCTCACCGTTCAGCGCACAACTGATCGATGGTACGATGTACAGAAACGTAAGTACGCCACTTTCTGTGTGTTTACTATATGAGCGCATAAACGAAACCAAAAGTCATGAAATAATCATTATTTAATAACAATTCGATTTGACGACGCTAACAACATCATTAAATATTTAACTCTTTTCTTTCCTCCGCGAATTTATTTCAGAATATTTTGAGAATCACATCCTATAGTTTGGAATAAATTGTGATTCATGCGAGATCGTCCACTGGATTTGAAATACATGCCGGTGTGCATGTATGTACGTTTGTTACGAGAATAACGCTTGTGTTATATAGCCATAAATACCAAGCCGTAGGAATAAAGCTACACACAAAAAAGTGTGCATAATCACAGGCGTTATTCAGAAGAAAAAAAAATTTGCTTGCTTCGTCGCTCGAGGCCACAGCACTCAAGGGATTCAATCGCCGGTGAATTGAGGTAAGTTTTTTGCTTGCAAACGAATTTGCTCGTACAACTTGAGCTGATAGTTCCAAATGGGAAGGAAGGAAATCCGCAAAAACAAGTGGATTACATGTAGGTAGTTGCAGCGAAATTTCTCGAAACAATACAGAAATAAAGAAATGTGAAGAAAAAAGTGGTTATTCAATGCAAACAACGTAGGGTACGAATGATTCCGTTTACTTTGGCGATTTATTTTTAGCTATTTTTTATGAGCGGATTTTAATCAAGCTGACTTGGTCCAGAAATAATAATACAATAAACCAAGAAAAACGTTGTAATTTCAACCGTTTATTTACATATTTCGAGCAACAGAAGCACGATAAAATTGTCGAATTGCCGTCGACCTCAGCAGCAAAACGGAAGTAAGAAGACTGATTTACTTTGCATTTCATTATTGGATCGTTTACGTCACACACACACACACACACCTTTGCCCGAAAAAAGAGACGGATGCGAGAGTGAACAAAAAATTAAACACAATGGACGTAGCGAGAGTGAAACGGCACAAAGCAAAAATGGTGATAATAGTGTTTAAGTCACGAAAATGCAACGTACAAACATATACTCTTCGCGCGCCAAAAGACATCACCGAAACAAGTTATTAGCGCATCATTACCTGCACACAACTGTTATTAAGCGCGTGCACACACACACAAATTATGCACAATATTTTCTTACTTATGTTTTTCTGTTTCGCTTGTTCAGGTGAGAGAACGCCTGAAAAGCTGAATGAATGTGAAATCGACACGATAGAGAGTTCAAGGTGCTGCTGATGCTGTTGCTGCTGCATTAAGTCTCTCGTCCGTGTGCTTTGTGCGAGTCAGTGACTAAGAGCTGTGAAAATTCCAACGAATTTTCTTCATAGTATTTATTTCTGTTGTTCTAGTTCAGGCGCCAAAGTACCTAGCAGAAGAAAAAAAAAACCAAGTTGATTTCTGTAATGTACACAGCACGCGACCATTTAAATTTGCTTCAAATTACACGATGCAAGTGATACGAATTCAAGAGTAATCGTTTTAAGTACATATCATTTTTTTAATCTGATCAAAAGTTGGAAAGAATGTGATGTCTATCACGTCGTGTATTTCAGCTTTACGTTTCAGTTCGACAGGTTAACGAAAAAAAAAACACAAAATGCTCAGAGTGCGTTTTGGCAAAGAAAAAACGGCAACAACAACAACAACAACAACAAAAGCACATACACATAAACAGTGAATATATGCGCACTGCAACTTCTTTCAAGAATCGCTTATTCTCATGCTTCTACACTCTACAGTCACTGCGCTGGGTTTTGCAGCCGGCTGTATTATTTTTCGTATTTAACCTCCAACTTGTGAGTTTTGAGTGATTAGTTGGATTTTGCATTGCATCTGGACAACACACGACGGCTCTTCAATTCTTTCTCTGATTTATTCTGATCCGGTCCGTTGTGCTCGTCTCGTCGATTAGCGTGCCAGTTTCTCACTTGTTACAGTCCAGTTGATTTCAGTTCATTTGAACAGTGCCAAATTCAAAGTGAAATCAAGAAAACGAAACATTTTCAACTCAAATAAAAATGTATCATTTATTAACATTTGTATCGATTTTGTATGCCGTTAGCTTGACCGCGGCCGCCAAATATCGTAAGTAACTTGATGCTGGTCCAATTATGTGCCCATTTTGTGATGTTCATTGTTTGATCAATGGCATTTTAATGTGTGTCGCTTTGATGTTTACGGTCCCACACATGGGTTTTATGTGGTCGTTCGCATTTTATTCATGTTGACACCGTTCATTTCCACATTTAATCGCTCTTGTTGCGTATGATAAGAAGGCAACAGCGAATTTCGACCGTACATAAATAGAATAAATTCCTTTTTTTCTTCTTTAAATTTAGCATCAAATTTGCAAAGGTGTCACTATGGCGATACAAGCTGTTTGACCACCGTCATTAATTCATACGTGCGAGCACTAAAAGATGGCAGTCGCGATATAAATATGGTACCATTAGATCCGTTGCATGTCGACGAAGTGGACATTATTCAAAGTAGTAAAAGCCCGGTCAACATCAATCTCAATTTCAAAGATGTTCTCTTTCACGGTTTAAGCAATTTGAATGTAAAACAAGTGGTGTAAGTTAATCCATCGTCTATCCTCCTCTCTCACAAATTTTTTTGTTTGTTTTGGTTCTTTTTCTGTAATCCATTAAAATTTCGTTGAATATTTGATACCAGTGGATTTGAGAAAGATCCTACCACATCGAAATTCGAAATCTATGCAAATGTTGATCAACTCTCGTTAATCGCCAAATACAAAGTCAAAGGGAATGTCATCATTTTACCCGTAGTTGGCAGTGGACCTGCTAATTTAACATTTGGTAAATAGAAATACATTTCCTTTTTCACATATCCGTCTGCAACGACAGTTTTCAGTACGCACACACACCTTCACCATTTTCTCCGTTTGTTTCACAGAAAATGTGGATTTTATAATAAAATTTATTCCAAAAGTTGAGATCAAAAAGGGCAAACAGTACTTGCAATTTTCTGACGTGAAGTTGGATTTTACAACGACACGGTGAGTACGACGTAGTATCAATAATGCGGTAAAACACCGCAAAAGTTCATGTAAAATTAACCAGTAATTTTCGGATGAATAATGTCTTTTAAAACGTGTTTCTCTCTTGTTTTGTTTCCTTTTCTTTTCATTTCAATTCTTCGGCATAGGCTTTACATGCAGTTTGACAATCTCTTCAATGGGAGAGATAAAGCGTTGAGCGATGGAACTAATGCATTTTTAAACGAAAACTGGTCCGATATTCTAACTGAATTGAAGCCCGTGCTGAGAAAAGCCATCGGAAACATTATAAATGGTGTTGTGGGCCCGCTGTTTGCCAAGTTCCCATATGAAACTCTCTTCTTGTGATTTATTTTTGGGTAGAAATCGTTTAAATGTAAGGCACCATTGTTGAAGGAATTATTCAAAGAAATACACAAATACAAAAATGGCGGTAAAAGTAGAAATAATTTACACAATGCTTTCATGTAATCAAAACATTAGGAAACAGAAACATGCAATTGATCACGTAAAAACGGTGGGTATCTTCATTCTTTTGTCCGTGTTGAGATACACTTAAATCACACTTTTAATTGCTCTAAACTGTTTTCATTTTTCAACTTAATCAACATAAAAATGAGTTTGCGTTATCGACTTCATTAAAACTAATGAACTGCATTTCAAAACGAAACATTTTGAATTTAGTTTGACCGCCCACTCTGTTATCAATCACAATGAATGGCAACAAAAAAGTGTATGATGTAACACAGCAAAAACCAATCTTGTTTCGAATAAGATGCATTTTAATTGCACATAGTAGAAAAATTGTTTCTATTTCTCTTGCTCTCTCCCACTGATCGATAATTGTGAAATTAGATATAATTGCTCTTGTTGCAATCGTACATCGTGTGCACAATACAATGTGCATCGTTTCCAATTGATGAATTATTTATTATATATTATTATTTATTAATGCTGCGAGAGTTCACCACCAATGATAAATTGTGTTTGTATTGAGTTCGGCACGCGACATTTTCCGCATATCAAATGCAAGAAGTTAACCTTCGGCGCGATCATTTTTGCTATATATGTAAACCACACTACTGTACTGCTTTCTAGTGATCGATTGGATTTTCTTTTAAATCAAACACTTTGCATTGTGCTCACAAAACACACACAATACAGCAGCGAATCAGCTTGAATTTATCTCGACGGCTGTTAGAACCAAGATTGCGTGAGAAAAAAAATGTTAAGTGCGTTGTGTTCGTTAGTCTTGTTGCATTTGTTTCATCTGTGCAGTCCTGTTTTTGGCACGGCATACCGTAAGTAACGTCAGAATTATTATGAAACCACAGACAGAAATTTACGTTATTTTGATTCCCGGAAAAAGGAGGCATGTCAAGCGAACGAAGCGTCATTGCAATTAAAATTTTACGATTTTGACTTGATAGGGCGCACCGTATACGACGTCATTTTACGACGCGAACGTTTAATTTACGAGCTCAACTGCTGAGAGAATAATAAATTAAAATTACGATTGGTGCAAAAAAAAGAAGAAGAAGAAAAATTACGATTCTATAAAAGAATTGCGTTCTGATTCAATCAGGGGCTTAAGACAAAACTTAAATCATTCTCTGTAGTTCAAACAACCTTCAATTAAAATTAATTGAAAATATATCGGCTGTGACATTTTTATGTAATAAATTCCAAGTTTTTATGTAGCAGAGAAAAAAAATGAACCCATTTTCATTCGTGACACAACTGGGCAAATAAAAAGTTGATATAGTGATGAAACGGCGCAGAAAATATATCTTGGATTTTCAATGTGACATCATTTAAGTACAACTTTCTGCATTCGTATGCAATCATCAAGATTATACCTCGTTATATACATTATGATTCTCATGTTGTATTCGGATAGTCTGGACATAAACGGGTTGATTTCAATTGGAATTTTCAATTTTCCATTTTCAAAAGTGAATTATTATCAGTTAAATAATAAAATTATCAGTTTTCGAAAGGAAAAAGTCACCGATTTTCATTATGATACACCATGATGGAATGTGTACAAATTGAGCGTCAAAGTACAACAATAGAAGTAAATAGTTTGAGGTTTATTATTTTTCATCATCAAAACTACGCTCAATCATATAATCGAAGGTTGAACACAAAAACACAACCCAAAAAAAGCTTAAAATAAATCGTTCGGATTAACCGACTAGCCAAAGGGCACACAAAATGAATACATTGTTTATTTTTAAAAGTTCATTTTACATTTTTCCGTTCGATACTATGAACAATGTTAACATTGTTTGTATGTTGACCAACAACACTTTCTGAATAGGAAGCGATATGCGTTGCAACAAAAATGTTGCTCGTGTTAACATTTAACCTGATTGGGCTCTTCCGCGGCAGGAAAATGATCAAGTTGCCTTTGTTCTGGGTCTGTCATAAGTAATATGACTGTACTAACTGTGAAAGAAAAGAAATCGAATTGAAATCGAGAACGGAATAGTTATCTGCGTTTTCCTTGAATATTTAATTGATATAATCGACTAACTATGCGAAAAAATTATACAATAATGACAGAAACCTCCTAATATGATGTGAGAAAAAAATACTGAGAGCCATTCGCCACACATATGAACTTTCCAACCACCGTGAACAAAGTGCGCTAATAGATTGACGATAACAATTAAACGATTTTTTTTTTCCATATAATTGAATCAACTGGTTATTAAAATATGAATAAATTTAACGAGAGTTCATAATTGACCGAATCGGGTGGTTTGAATGTTTTGAGAAGCGTAAAATTTGATGCAAAAAATTGAATCATTCAAAGAATTCAGTCCTTGATTGCAATCCATGGGATCAATTACAAAAAGTACATCATATTTCGCGTGACATATACTCGTCGGTTTTTAATCATAACAACTCGCAAACTCTATCAGTCTCATTAGTTCTAATCATTAATATTGAAAACCACAGGTAGCGTACTTAATACATAAAGTTCCCCACAATGAAAAATCCCAGTCGTACATTATCGCAACGGAATAGGACAGAAGAACACGGAACAGAAATGAAACAAGCGCACAATCTAAATCTAGTTGCATTACGTACTCGTGCTTAAATGAATTCTAAGTCTTTTTACATTGTTAAGAATGCATTTTTTTTTCTCTTCTAGCTGCATCACTGCCACAATGCAAACCCGGTGATACGGAGTGTTTGCGCACAGTAATGAATGAAATCATACGTACACAGGCAGCAGGTAAAAATCACATCTCATTTCAATTTCAATTTAATGCAGTCCAATCACACGAATGTTGTACTGCTGTAGTGAACAAATGCTGATCGTTGCTACGCGAATGCGATAAAAATCGTTCGACGCATTTGTTCAACGATAATTCAATTTGAAAAAAAAGTATCCGAGATTTGCATGTTGTGTTTATTTAAAAGAAGAAAAACTAAGTAAATAAATAGAAGATTTTTGTCTTCAAATCCGCTACAGTGCCGCGCCATTGGTGCAACCTATCATTAAATGCACACATTTTTAGCTCGCACTGACGAAAGTGTTTTAATTTCTGTTTTGTTTTGTTTTGTGTTTCATAATTCAATTAAACTCAAATTTGTAATAGGACACGAGGGACTTGCATTGAAGGCGTTTGATCCATTGAAGTTAGACAAGTTCTCAATCGTACAATCCGATAAAAGTCCGGTCAACATTCGTTTGAATCTCCGCAACATTACTGTGACTGGTATTAAAGACATTGTGGTGTCAAAAGTTGTGTTAGTTGATTCATAGCTCTCTTACCGCTCACTTTGCATTTGATATTTGCGGCTAATAAACACTTGGTGCGATTGTTGTTTTTGTTGTAGTGGTTTTAATGAAGATCCGAAAACAACGAAATTAGAAGTTACTGGAAAAACGAAGCGGTTAGTTTTTGTTGGAAAATACACACTCAACGGACAAGTATTAATTCTACCAATCGCTGGAAATGGACTTGCCAATCTTACTTTCGGTTTGTGTGAAAATCAGTTATTTTGTTTTGTGAATTGGATCAAGTGCAAATTTTATTTTAATTTCACGGTGATTTGTCTCTTTTTCATAGAAAATGTTAACATTCATATTAAAGTTTTTCCAAAAGTTGAGATACGAGATGGAAAGGAATATGCGATCATAGGAAAAGATACGGTAAAATGCAAATTTACGACTTCAAAGTGAGTGATAAATTCGAAAGAAAAACCAATAATCATTTTCATCTCGTCATTTTAATGTAATATCCGATCAATTGTGTCTATTCCACCTAGATTCATTCCATATTTTTCAAATCTCTTCAACAATGAGGAAATAAGTAAAACTATGAATATGTTTCTGCAACAGAACTCGGATGAGATCTTCAGAGAAGTCAAAGTATCTGTGGAAAAGGAAGTTGGTGACGTCGTGAGATCGTTAGTTGCCGGTCCGTTTGACAAATTTCCATACCGAAATTTATTCTTGCCATAAGTGTAATATTGTGCAAAATCGGGAAATTTTTTCAAACTAAAATCGAACATATTTCTTTTGTTGGCGATGGGTTGACACTTCATTTGTTCTCTGTACTATATTTTTTTGTAAATATTCCTTTTGTAAATGAATTTGCTTTTTTATAAGAAAAAATGTAAATAAAAACTAACTCAAACCTACTCCTCCAATTTCTCATTGTTTTAATCGAACTTAACGTATCTCACCTCGCTTTCAAATGTTTTCATTCAAACGTCCTTCTTTGAACAAATGAGTGAATTCTCCCTTACAATATAAATGCGTAGTTCAATTCCTTCAGTAGCGACTTTCGGTGTTCTTTACTATATTTGAGCAAATACGGCTCATTGTGAAGATGAAACCTTTCATAGGTCCTACTCATACCTATAGTACGTTCGCTAGATGGCCTTACCGTAGACTCACTTCTATTGAACTTACTCGATGGAGGCGGTTCAAATATTGAACAATTCAAAGTGAGTTAAACCATTTCTGAATAGTTTTTTTTTGCTTGAAGGTTTCAATTCCAAAGAAAACATAACAAAAATGTTTTCTTTCCTCACAGCTGGAAAATTGAATCGTATTTTTTTGAAGTTAAGTTGAAAAAAAAATGTGTATATGTGTGCTACATTCAGTTTAGTTGAAATTTCCCAAATCATGTAGTCATTTCAAGTTCGCCGACTTCCAACTGGAACGTATGTATACTGTGTTTGCAAATTGCACAGCTTGAATATAATTTACGGGTCCATGAATTTTATGGCATAAATAAAGCACACAATACAGATGTTACAGCAGCTCTTTCAATGGCACGTGTCGCTAATAATTTAATGATCGTCATTTTGGGCTTAAATTCTTAGGGCATTCCGACTGTGACAAATGCATCATCATACACATACCACTAGGTGATTTACGCGAGTGGTTTGTTTGTTTACATGGTCATTATGGTATTAATTATATGAAACTATTCATCAGATTTGGTTTGATTGGACATAATATTAGAAAATTTGGGAAAAATAATAAATTTCTTCATCAATTCGAATGGCGAAGGTATGTGATTTTGTGGGTAAAAATAGTATTAACACCTAACCCATAGAAACGTGTCAAATATCATTTAGTTCATCTTTTGGTTGCAGGTACCAAAAATACACACATCTAATCAAAATCCAATACGAATCGCATTTGTTCATCTAATTATTATGAATTTTGTTGACAGATTTCGAAATAAATCATCGAAAATATTGTGACAATAGTCGAAGCGCTCGGTCTCAGTGGTAATGTTGAAACTGTATACCCTATCTGTTTAATGTGGTGTCGTATCGCATCATCATGGGTCAATATTGTTCGGGTTTGTAATGTGAAGCGCATCTGTCACATTAAACAGTTGTCATTCGCATTTTATTTCTGTATGCTGAAAACATTGATCTCTTCGTTGCGGTTTGTTCGCTGTGTTGACCATTTTGTGTGGATTGTCATTCGAACTAGATGCCCATAAAAGGGCTGAACAAACATCGGTTGAATAGAAAGTGTATAAAAAAGGAGAATATTCTAAAATATTGTTAGTGATGCTGAATGCACCACATTATTGTGTGAAATAGTGTGCGACAGAAGTGAACGGCATTTATTGCCTTAACACGTTTACATTTTATTCGGTTACTCGTTCATCAAACGCATCTCTCTTTCTCTCTCTCTCTCTCTCTCTCTCTCTCTCTCTCTCATTGGGAACATATGTGAACTGATTCGGAAAATGGGATCCACTATTACATTTCGGCAGATACTTTCATCTAGTCGCTGGTGTTTTTCCTCTCTTCTCTCTGTGATATACTCGTTTTGAAACATGTTACCAAATTCGAATGCAATTACGATTGAATTATATGAGCATTTGCTCTGAATTGCATCGATAGAGAAGGGTAGTATTTAGAAGTCAGTTTTTCGTCACTCACTCGAAACCAATGCCATAAAAATCCATGCGACTATACAAAAGCCTCAAGTGTACAGATTTTATCATTAAAAAATGCATTTGTCAAATGATGATTTGAAATTTTTCAAAATTCAATACGTAAATAATTCCCGTTCGACGATTCGTATCATTTTTTTTCTTCTCGGGTGAATCGAGTGCATTGAATGCGTCTTTTCTGTGGTATGTGTGTGTGTGTGTGTGTGTGAGTTTGTGCTCTAATATCGTTTACGATAATTTGGCTTTAAGCCAAAACGTAATTTCACGCACCGATGAATTGAGAGCCACGAAGGATTGCATCCCACATCTCGACTTGCGTTTTCGCCAGCCTTTCATCTCTCTCTCTCGCATTGCGACATTTCTTTATTGATTGCTATCATTTTCTACTGTATCATTTCTCTTTCCTCATGTCGCATGTCTCATGTTTATGCGTCGCCCCGAATGGGAATTAATGAGAATGAGTGCGCGGAGAAAAGAAGAGCTAAAAAAAAAAAATCCATTTATGATGTTCATAGAATCTGAAGCATTTTCAGCTACACAGCTATAATGACTTTATCTACTTTTTGGCTTCGAACCGCCGCATTTATCAACAAATGTTTTCATCTCTCAGCTGAATTCACAATCTGGAAAGCTCTGTTCCGTTGGTTGTCCGCTCTTATGTGCAATTCGCAGTTAAACGAAATAACAGAAGTCATTAGAGTATTGCTATTCCCATTTTTATTGTGCTTTTTTTCCTTCTTTCTGCTGTTTATTCCAATAATTCGCATTATATTTTTTTGTGCTATGTTGTTATTACTTGTTTCACAACTTCATATAATCGTCATTCGTCGTTATGGTTTGATGCTGTTGGTTTTTGCGCTTGATTTGTTCATTACCAAAACAATATCGGGAAAATAGCACAAAATATGATTATCCAACAATAATTTGATGTCGATTGTTTCTCTTTTTTTTTGCTCCCTCCTCTCGCTCTTTCTCTCTCTCTCTATTCGTTTATATTATCGCATTTGTAGCGAGAGCTGTATGACAAAACCGTTTATTGTTTTTTGTTTTGTTCCTGTGCAAAACATAGAAGAATTATGGTCACACATAAAAAAAATTGACATCATTTTTTATCCACGATGACATGCTGGACAGAAAATTGCATTTGAGCATTTGTGCTATTTCCCAATGTATATACATATATGGATTCAGAGCCTGATGATTTTCGCATTGGCCATTTCCTCACTCTGAACACCGACACCGCCACCACCGCTTGATTGTGTCAGTGCGATACACCGTTACCGTATATAGGTAATGCAATGCCGAAACCAAACAGCTACGCTGCATGTTTTCGGGCATTTTCCCCATTTATCATTATATAACCAATAGAACAATTGATAACCATCACTCTATCGTCCGACATTGTTTTCGTCGTCGACGTCATTTCTGTGCGAATGCAAAACTCATTGCGTTTTTTCTGCGATCGACGGTTTTTCCGTGTTTTTCATTGGATCAAATTCTGTTTTTTTGTATAACAAAGAAAAAGTTTGACTCGATGTTGAATTAAAAAAAAAAATATCGCGTTGGATTTTTCGCAATCATGTTCCTGTTCAATTTCCATTCGGTTTAGATTAAAAATCTAGCACCGTGTTATGTAATATAGATCAGTTCAATTCAGATGAGCCATTCAATTCTGCTAAATTTCCACCACACAAAATACGTATACAAAAACGAATGGAAAACTGTCGCGTATGGCAAAATAGAATTTCCAAGTCGAATAGAATATCGCGCGCGCGTGCGATTCATTTCAAGCACATAAAGCGTATTCTACGAGCAAGAAAACCCAAACACAAATGAAAACGCATTGAATGAATGGCAAATGCGAATAAAAGCTGAATAAAAATGAAAAGAGAGGGAAAAAAAACAAACAAAATCAAAGCAACATGTTCACAACAAACTTTTTTTTTCCTGTTTTCATTTTGTGTGAATATAAAACGAGATGGGAGCATGGATGGGAGCATTTTGTGGCAAAGTGTTTGGTTGTGTGTGCTTCTGTTTGTTTTTTTTTTTGCTTTTGCAAATCGCACACACAGCATACGGATCGATTTTGAGCATTTGCTCAATGCGCAGCACCGAAACGAGTAAAAGCATCCGAACGTTTGTGAATCCTATTAAACTCAGAGACCAGCCCATTGAACGTTTTGAATGTACAATAGAACGTTGTGCACAACGCCGCATTGAGACTAGCATTGAGAGCGAACGAAAAGCGAATTGCTTTTTTTTCTCTCTCCGTGTTTTGTTTTTTTTTTTTCGTGTGTGTATTTGGTTCGTTTTCACGATGATGTTGAGTTTTGTCTCTGGGTATGATACATGACGCCGAGAGTGCGAAAATAGAGAAAAAGCGAGATGTGAACAGTGTCTGTCGATGATATTGTTTTTCATATGTTTGCCAGTTGCTCGGTGCGGTTGTGATTGTGTAGTTTGGAGCACACACAATTCGAATGTGCGACACTCCAACCATATACCATCCATGGTTTAATCTATCTACCGACAGTACATACACAATGCCACTGTGCTCCATTTTAATGTACGTAGTGTACATGCCCGTCGACTCTCTCTCTCTCTCTCTCTCTCTCCCATTCTCTGCTCCTCTCTATTTCTGCATTCAATCTGATAAATGTTCGCTTCAGTTCGGTGAATCCGTTTGTATTTTCTACGTTATGTGTTGTGTGTTGAGCGCGAGCGAACACAATATGGGCATTTGTTGATACACCATCGACTCTGTGTATGCCGACGAGATGATATGCGCACAACGATTCCACAGGGTGAATTTATCTGAATTATGTGACTTAGTCGGGTATTATATAAGAAAAGCTTAAGGATTCCTTATTTATATTCAATGGCTCATTCAATGCTTTTTTTTCCATTCTTTATTATTATTATACTCTGGGTTTATTCGTTGGCACCAGAGCGATATCGGATGCGGTATCGTCGTAACATTTGCCACATGCACTCACTCGCACTCCCGCACTCTCGTATACATGCGTTTAGATAAGTCGATGGGCTGGAAGTAAAGCCGTTCGTTCGTGTTTTCGACAGCGCGCACAGGAGATGCTTATAATCAATGAAAACGACGTATTTTATGGAATTTATAGGATCACAATGAATCGCAAGACCACTCGAATAAAATGTACGGAATGGAAATCGGTCGGTGTTGTTCGCAATGCGATGAGAAAATTCAAA